AATATATTTTGAACTCTATATCCGGCTACCGAATTCCTTTCATAGAAATACCAATACAGAATCCAAATTCAATTCAAACTCGCCTTTTTTCAGCTAAGGAAAGTAAATATATGAAATCAGAAATATCTCATTTACTGAATATAGGAGCTATACAGAAATGTGTTTTTGTCAAAGGCCAGTTTATCTCCGATATCTTTTTAGTAAACAAGAAAGACGGTGGTTTTAGATTTATTTTAAATTTAAAGAAATTAAATAAGTTTTTCGATTGCAAACACTTTAAAATGGAAGATATCAGAACTGCTACTAGGCTTTTAACTAAAGATGCATATATGGTAAATCTTGACTTAACTGAAGCCTATTTTTTACTTCCGGTACATAAAAGTCATAGAAAGTATTTACGATTCTGTTTTCAACAAAAAGTATACGAATTTACTTGCTTGCCGTTCGGTCTATCGTCGGTACCATATATTTTCACAAAAATACTTAAACCAGTGATAACTAACTTGAGATCTAAAGGTTTCTTATCAGTTCGATATTTAGATGACATTTTATGTATCGGAAGTTCCTATGACGAATGTAAACACAATGTCAAGGAAACAATTGAATGTTTAACTAAACTAGGCTTCGTTATCAATTACAAAAAGTCTAACCTAATTCCTAGTAGGTTATGTAAATTCTTAGGCTTTATATTAAATTCCGAGAAAATGATTTTAGAACTACCCGAGAAGAAAAAAATACATATTTTAAAAAGCGTTAATAAAATTTTTGTGTCAAATACAATTAAAATTCGCGATTTTGCTAGTTTTTTGGGAACTCTAACAGCAGCATGTCCAGCTATAGCATATAGCTGGATGTACACAAAATTATTCGAGAGAGAGAAATTTTTGGCATTACGTAATAACGGCGATAACTATAATGCAGTTATGAATATCCCAAACAGTTTCTGTGATGACTTACTATGGTGGAAAAATAACATTTTACTTACTCAAAACCCTATCCGACGTGGAAAATTCGAATTAGAAATTTTTACGGACGCGTCTAAAACCGGTTGGGGGGCCGCATGTAACGGCGAGAGAACTGGCGGTCATTGGTCAATCAAAGAACAAACTCATCACATAAACTACTTGGAATTGCTAGCTGTGTTTTTCGGACTAAGATCATTTGCTCAGGATAGAAATAATTGCGAAATTCTACTACGTATCGATAATACCACCGCTATATCCTATGTAAACAGGATGGGCGGAATCCAACATCTCCATTTAACATTCATTTCAAAAGAAATCTGGCAATGGTGCGAATCCAGAAAAATTTTCATTTTTGCTTCATATATAAAATCCTCACAGAACTATGAAGCCGATTATGAATCAAGACGGCTAAATATTGATACAGAGTGGGAATTGTGTAATAAAACTTTTTTAAAAATTATTAATCGATTTGGTCAACCTGATATCGACCTATTTGCTTCTCGCTTAAATGCTAAATGTGACAAGTACTTATCCTGGAGGAAAGATCCGTATGCTTTCAATATTGACGCCTTCACGGTAGATTGGCATCCTTTCTTCTTTTATGCTTTCCCACCATTTTCACTTATATTAAAAATCCTAAACAAAATTGTTAGTGATGACGCATCAGGTATATTGATAGTACCATACTGGCCTTCACAACCTTGGTACCCACTGTTTAAGTCCCTCTGTGTAAGCGAAATTGTAATATTTCCACCTAGTAAACATCTCCTTTCATCTGCTTTCAGAACAATACACCCGCTGCACCACCATCTTTCATTGGCAGCGAGCATTGTATGCAACAGGCGTTCCTCAAACAAGGTGTACCAAATTCTGCAATAAACACTATGTTATCATCCTTGTCCAAAAATACCATAAATCAGTATTCATCCAGTTTTAAAAAATGGTGGGAATATTGCATAGAAAAGAGAATAGATTTTTACGATGTCGAAATAAGTTCATTATTAGATTTTCTTAGCAGATGCTTAGATGGTGGAGCGTCCTACTCCACTTTAAACAATCATCGCTCAGCAATATCTTTAATTTCAAGAAATTGTATAGGCGAAAATCCAATGATTAAAAGATTTTTCAAAGGCGCATTTAAATTAAAACCAACATTCCCGCGCTATAATATAACTTGGAACCCTAATATTGTGTTGGATTATCTGTCGTCTTTACACCCAAACAACACATTGTGTTTAGAAAAAATAACACATAAATGTACTGCTTTGTTAGCTTTGGCAACAGGGCAAAGAACTCAGACAATTTCCCTAATCAGATTAGAGAATATTAATATATATGATGATAGAATAGTTATTATGATTACAGACTTGGTGAAAACATCAGCCGCAGGTCGAGCCCAACCGGTGTTCGACCTCCCGTTCTTTATAAGCAAGCCGAGTATTTGCCCTGCTGCCTCAGTAATCGCCTACATGTCTGCAACTGCTTCAATCAGACCGCAGAAAGAAAATAATTTATTCCTGACTTGTAAAAAACCTCATAGGGCTGCTTCACCATCGACCATAGGGCGGTGGATTAAGCAGATCTTAAAGCTAAGTGGTATCAACACCAATGTATTTCGAGCACATAGCACCCGTCACGCGGCGACCTCGGCTGCACTACGCGCTGGCGTCAGCGTTGATACAATCCACCGTTGTGCCGGTTGGACTGGAAACTCTACCACTTTTGCCAATTTCTATAATAGACCGATTATCAATAGGAATACTAATCTTTTTAGTAATATATAAATAGTTCATTGTTAATTTTAAGATGATTAATTTATAAGTAAGATGTGATTGTTACATTTATACCTAAGTACATTTTTTGTTACAATAATAAAGAAATATATTATATAATAGAAATCTATCAATAATATTCAGTATACTTGCCTTATAGTTTTATTTTACAACATTGACTTTTCTCTAAACATCTACATGGTTAATAAAAATAAATCTCGTAGGCGAAAACAGGATAATTAGATGATCAAACGAACTTGCAAAAGTGAAGTTCGATCTTAATTATCCTGTTTTCGCCGAAGAGATTTAAATTCCCACCCAATCCCATATTTTTATCCCTTAAAACAGGTGAATGTTGTAAATAAACCCAAATCTTTTTTCTCTAAAAATAATGAGGTTGCTCAACGATACTGTAGCGAAGTAGAGTGGAGGGGAGAGCTCTCCCCACATTTTTATTTTTAACCCAACTACGCTTAATATTGTGTGCGGAATGGCTAGTCGTACTGAGGGTACTACATGGTTAATAAAAATAAAACGGCGAAAACAGGATAATTAAGATCGAACTTCACTTTTGCAAGTTCGTTTGATCATCTAATTATATTTCGCACAATTTACATATCTTTTTTGTTATGTAGGTAGATAGTTTATTAATAACTTGAGGGTAAGCGATGCTTTTTGTAACGGCCAGTTGTATAGTGTTCTCGTGTCATTATTTATTAGTGGAGACGAGGAAAAAAAATGTCGATAGGAAAATAGGTGAATTTAATTTAGTATGATATAATGTATTTTGTGGTGATCGATATAAAACCGGAGTTTTGATAATTACTAACTTTAATATCTCGGCATACAACTTAATGGTAAATTTGTGCAGTCTTCGGAAGACGGCACGGTTAAAAGTTTGACGAAGTGATCGCAATTATGCAGAAAGATATATAACCCGTTCCGTCATTGTTATGTGAACGATTTAACTTGACAGACGGTTAATGAATTGTACAAAATGTTAAAGAATTAAAGAATCCGCAGAATATAGATAATTCTGCAGATTCCGTACATCTTAAGATTTGGAATTTATATGTGGAATATGGAGTGACAGGATAAGGCAAAAAATATTTGCAGAGGACAAAGTCACTTCTAAAATGACGGTGTCATTGGCGTTATCTTTGGAGGTAGCGGTGCGGAACGTGAAAACGAAGAGAAATTGAATTATGGAAAACGGGAGTGCAGTTCAATTAAATTAACACGCGACATATTACGAATCATTATCGTTTTAGAGATTATGTATAAAAATGTGGTTAATTTGCGACTTGCGTGTGTATATTGGGTACGTCACCAGGATTCGTTAAAAAGGAGGGGATACGGTCGCGGTGTTGCATCGACACCAGCAGCGGCAACAGGGCACCGGCAACCTAACGGGCGCCCACAACGCGGCCACTTTTTCTTAGGACTACTTTAATGCCATTGGCCTAAATTGGACTTTACAGCTTTATCCGAGCAGATGTCACTCCAAACCATCTGCACTCGTCCCCTATCGTCGCAGTCTCCAAAAGTCCGCAGAAGGACTTATGGAGCAGCAGTAGGCCAACTAGCGGATACGACTTTAGTCTGAAAGGAACCACTTAGGGTTCGAACCTCAGCTGAAGCCGTCGTAATTTCGAACCTCGTTTGAGTTGAACGGGGGATCGATCGGAGGGGTAACGCGACCACGCTGTGGAGCACATTCCGAAAATCCGGACAATAAAGAGGAAGACGTCACGGAAGAGCCAATATTTTAAATATTACTAGCAAACTGTAAACCCGTTAGATTGCCCGTTTTTGTTATTAACCAAATTCTATTAAAGAAAGTCGATATGGATTCGGCGTTGTCCTGTTTGGGAGAAGAAGTATATGAATGTAAATTTAGTAATTTATATTTAGATCCGTGTAATCTAATAATTAAATTTTATGATTGTAGTTAAATAAACCCACGAAGTTTAATAAGAGTACGAGTAACAAATAAAAATATTGTTTTTCATAAAATTATAGTTTCTGTGTTATTCTGATAGGCTATATTACTGTAAAGTTTCATCTAATTTAGTAGTTTTTGCGAAAAAGAGTAACAAACATCCATCCATCCATACTCACATACTTTCGCGTATATAATATTAGCTGTGATATTAGTAAGATTTAATTCAGTTTCAGAATACGAACGTAGAGATTTCTTAAAATTTTCCAATTGTACAAATAGTATTTAAAAATCTATAGGTGTATTGCCTATACATAGTTCTTAATCCGTCCGCTTCACGAGCTTCAGCTTGATTTCTTTTGAAGGTTGGGTTATCATTGTTGTTGGTATAAATCGTAGCTTACGTGGTGTGCCTTCAGCCAAATCTACGCGGTATTTCTTGAAGATTGTTATAATTCCTGCCATCATCTGCATCTTCGCGAAACGCATACCTGAATATGTACATAATCTTATAATAATTGTATATGTATCCTAATATTCTGTGTATAAAGAGGAAAGATTTGATTGTTAGTATTTAATTAAGTGTTATTTTATGGAAAGTCTATTTCATTCATTTTATGGTTTTCTATTATTTTCAGTACTTCCGCTACAATTAGCATGTGTGAGACCATTATTATTCAGTGCGGAAACTTGACTGCCATTATGACCTTCACTAACGGTGACCGATTTCCAACCGTTATTGAGTCTATACCTATATTGCAACACGTGTTTCTAACTAACTATGTTCCTCTGATCAAGGCATCATCAGGCATCGTCAAATATAGCTTGGAAGCCTAGTGTTACCTGTTCGGCGATCAAACCGCGACTATGATTGTTGGTTTTTGCATTTTGCTCCGTAACTATTGGTGTGTCATGATGTCCATAGTGTTGTATACATTAGACATTATGTATATAGGCGACGATTACTGTTTAACATTAAGGCAGTCTGCCTGTTTGCCATTCTAAAAGTGGAGATACTAAAGTGGGACCATTCACATCTGTCATCTTATTTTTCACTTATATGTAAAAGTCGGACTAGATTATTACTAGATTTTTACATGCATTAAATGTAAAAATCTATATTTGTATTTAATATTATTAAGATCTCTTTATCCATTTAGATGTGAAATGTAACAAACAGGCAGACATGCTTTCAAATTTATATTGTAGTTGCGGAAGTAATTATTATTGTTTATATTGGACTAATATAGATAGAAGTAATAAAAACTTGCCTATACAACGTCGAGGCCCTTCACCAAATGGCATATAAGTATACGGTTTAATGTTATTTTTCTCCCTATAGAATCTGTCTGGACGAAACTCTTCAGGTTCAGGGAAATGGTCGGGATGTCGGTGTAGATGGTACACTGGGATATGAATGCGCAATCCTTTATTCAGCACCGCGCCACAAGGGAGAGTATACTCCTCCATTACCTCACGTGTTAGAACACCAAGCACTGGATAAAGTCGCATGGCCTCGTCGATACAAGCCTGGACATACGGTAATTCTGTAACACACTCGTAGTTCAATTTGTTTTCGTATCTGTTCAAATATTCATCAATTTCGGTAAGTACTTTCTCTTGTACTTCTGGACTCTTTGCAAGCTCATAGAGTGTATATTGCAGTATAGTAGATGATGTTTCGAAGCCAGCCGCAAAGAGACCCATAGACAAGCCAACAAGAAATTCATCATTTACTTCTAAATTTGAATCTTTATCTGTTATATTCATCGTTTTATCACTAGTGAGGTATTTATTCTTCTTAAAATTAAGAATAAGGTCAACAAAGTCATTTCTTCCTGTTGGTTTATACTTTCTTTCAGAAAACACTTTTACCAACAGCTTGTGGAAAAAAATATCAGTTTCTGTAGGAAAACTCTTCATTCCAAGCCCATAGAATATAGCTGGCCAAATATTTCTAGCGTACATTTTGAAACCCCTATAATAAGTATCCTTAAATAGGATATTTCCAATATAAGTGAAGATATTATCAGTATAATTATTATCCATGGTTTTCGTGTTTACACCAAAGGCACACGTACCTATGCTGTCCATTGTAAACCTTGACATCAGCGCCCTAACTCCAAAGACTTGGCTCCTGCTGAACTCGTAATCAAGCATGCTCTCTAACGCATGACAACATTTTTCAATCAAATAGAACATATTCTTCATTTTTGATGTTGAGAAAATTGGTGTTAAGTTTTGTCGTAACACCTTCCATCTGTTGCCGTGAGCGAAGAACAAACTTTGGGTGATAACTTCCTTGTTAGTGTACGCAGATGTTTCTCTGCCATTGCAGTAATAAAAGTCCTTGGTTACAATGCGTTTGATCAACTCCGGGTCTTGTACTATAAGCGTAGGTTCAGTTCCATAAAAAACGCCAAAGTATGGCACCGTGGGGAATTTACGACATAATATTTGAGCAACTTCTGGCATAGATCTTCTCATAAGCAAGTATTCGCCATAATTGCTTAGAATAGGAATTGGTTTCGCATACGGTATTTTTAATTTCTCCCAGTAACATATTTTTTTATTTATTACGCGGTATGTTAGGTAAAAAAATACAGTTAAAGCAATTAATATTAACACAATCATTGTTCATTACTAACTAGTTGCAGTAAAACAATGTATATTTAAAATGCACGCAGATACTTTATCAAGAGTCTCTAACCTGAGGTGACCATATCTTAAGTACTCTCAATAATATGATAATATATGTAAATACTTTCACTATTTTATTTATGTTATGACCTCGGTGGTCAAGTGGTTTAGCATCTTGCTTCCGATGGCGACCAAAAGAAGCAAGATGGTGTGCATCCTGCGGTTCGATTCCTCGCACGATACAAACATTTGTATTCGTGCGTATGATTGCTTCGTATTGAAACGTGTAATTGTAATTACCAAGTAATTGTATTCTTATAATTTATCCTAAAACAATAGCAGCAAATAATTGCAGAGCAGAGGAGTTGCAAAGGTCGAACAATTTGTCAGGCGCCCTCTTCAACATCCACCAGACTTCACCCCTCCGAACGATCCCTTGTCAAACGGGCATAGAAATTACGACGGGCTGAGTTGAGGTATGAACCCGTAATGGTCTCTTCAGACTACGGTCGTATCCTTCAGGCAGGAGTTGCCCTTTTGCCGCTTCTTTCTTCCGCGGGTCCTTCGTTAGAGTAGTGCGAAAAAAATTGGATGACGCCAAACGTCGCTTTGATGACGACATCACATTATCGACTAATAAAATGCGCCGCTCATCACGCGATTTTGAAAACCAATAAATTTTTAATTGTAATAGTTGTTGCAATAAACGTTCTATCGGTCACAATTTTGTTATTTATCAAACTACATTCATACAATACATAACATTTTACAACAGTTATAATGGCTTCGTAGTATATATTATAGTTCAGTTTTTACGAATAATGATAATAATATCTCAGGACAATTCACACAGCGCCATCTAGTCCCAATCTAAGCAGAGCATTAGTTATGGGTACTAAACAACATATACACATACATAATATACATAGAAAACCCCTCCGATCGATCCCCCGTCCAATTCAAACAGGGATCGAAATTACGACGGCCTGAGCCGAGGTTCGAGCCTCTAGCGGTGCCTTCAGACTAAAGTGTATGCGTCAGGCGGGAGTTGGCCTTCAGCCGCTCTATTAGTCCTTCCGCGGGTTTGGAGTACCATCTGCACTCGATCCCCTATCGTTTGGTAAAACTGTAAAGTAAAGGCCAGCGGCAGCCTTTTTTTCCTTACGAAAACATAGTCTTCCTATACCCAATTAATAAATAGTAGTCGCTTGATAACAAATAGTATTTACAGCTATGTTATATTAATATGTACTTATACTTGATTTAGAGATCCTTGTTTCTCGTCATAGTCAAAATAGTTAACTATAGGTAATATTTCACTAGAGAGGTTGACATAAGATGACTGATCACCTATAAAATCATAACCTCTGATCTGGTGGTAAGTGAGTAGTGTGGAATTACGCCAAAGCAACGCTTTTAGGTGCTTTTGGATTTAAAAATTAATGTTCAACTATAACTTAACAAGTAATAACCATTAGCTAAGTGCATTTATTCAATACGCATATGTAAAGATCTAAATCTCTATAAATAAATAAAAGGAAGTGACACTAAACGCATATCACTAAATGCATATGATCACTTTTACAAAAACTATAATTTTAAATATTTTTGTCTATCTGTTTGTTCTTGTTAATCTCAGAAACGGTTGGACGATTTTGATGTCGCAGAAAGTCAATGATAAATCATTATAATGAGTAACTTAGGCTACTTTTATTTAAAAAAATATCAATATTAACTCCACATGGACGAAGTCGTGATTACCAGCTTATAGAAGAATACATACATTACCAGCATGGGTCGCCGGTGGAACGTTTCATTCAGTAGGTGAATTTAAAATCTACGTAAAAAAAAAATAGAGTTACCATATTGAGATCAATCTAAGATTGGTTAGAATCTTTGATTGTGGACATATTATTATTCGGATGTGAGAAAGTATGGCTAACTAATTTATGATTTTAGAAAGAGACTTTATTGAGATACTATTGTACTTAGGTAAATAACGCCTGCGAAGTTTTTTATAGCAATTTCGGACATGCACATATTGTTAGATATATCAACTTTATGTACTAGTAAAAGTATGTGTTATAATAAAATAACAACTATATAACATTAATTTAACTATGTCTCTAACACAATTCACTTTAGCAATTAAAATACAACCAGCACATCCTGTGCTCAAGGACCGAATGCCGCGGCTTACAAAAACCCTCCCTTTTATACAGAGAAGATATGAGTGGGGGTTATATGCAACTAGTTTAACGATACCGAGTAATAATGAAACTACCTTCTTTTAATATAAAATATCAGATTTTTCGAAAATATCCATGCGAACCCTAACAATATTAATATTTCAGTTTGTACAGTGGACCGGCTATGAGCAGGATTTTAAAAATGGATGTTTGCAAACCATTACCATGTACCCTACATGGCGGTACCAGTGGAAGTTGACTGAATGACAATGATCCCCATTCCGAGCAATCCCTTCTAGGGGATGGGGTTGTTCGAAAAGAATTATAAATGAATGAATGAAACTCTTAGTTCCTCTAACATTAAATTCAGTTATATACACAATCGTTGTATAAAATGAAGTCGCTTCCAATTTTTGTTCCTTTAGATCTTTTAAATTACGCAACAAATTTTAAACCAGTTTTTACAATGGATAGAGTGATTCAAGAGGTAGTTTTATATGTATTATACATGCGTATTATAGTATAGAATAAGCTGTGTAATTCAAAGATTTGTAATTCACCGTACCAAATCGTGACGGATCGCTAGATATACATATATATAAATAATAATAATAAACAATATAATAAGACAACAACGGGCGACATTATTGTTAAGAATCGTTCTCTTAACTAAGCAACCTTACGATGGGGAAAACTTGAGAAAAGTCATTAAACTTGCACCTGTGTATGTGTGTGCACAAGGTGCTCCCTAAATTGATTTATTGGTACGAGTACAGCAGGCCATTCATCCTCTACTCAGTTGTGGAACCCTCGATGGCTCCTGCAACTCGTGTTTGATTCATTTGTTTATCGTTACTTATTCAACCTTCAACTCGCTATGTGTATTTCGAATTGGAGCAATCTGCTGTTTGTTTTCCTCAATATATATTAATGTTATTAAGAGAGAGATTGTTTTTAGAGGAAAGTAAACTACTGCACCAATTTAAGAGCTCCTTTCATTATTTTTTATGCATCCGTCTGCCCTAAATGCTAGCGGGGCACTACCGCACGATCAGTTTGTTGATGAGGTGAGCTGAGTTTAGTCAGATCAATTAAATGCCCCAAGTTATTTTCCATGATGTTCTCAAGCGGGACTGCGTGTGAATATACAAGGTATGTTGCAAGCAATGAGATTACTAGTCATACTATCTTACACGTCAAACCCGAAAAAAAAAATTATAGAGCTTTCAATAACTAGCTTTAGCGAAACCTTAATTCTTGAAAAAACCTCATGCTGTAGTCTCGTGACAAAGTCTCATTTCACAATCTATGTGTACGCAGGAAGAAGCTCCTGTAAAACCGCACTGTTCGAGACCTATTAGGCTCTAGCGTGTGGGGTTGAATTTCCTGTTGATGGCGAGCGATGTGTTAGTAAAAGCACAGATAACATAATGTAAAAGTTAGCCATCATGTCGAACAATTCCTCATAACACAGTCCAAAGCACATTCGGTAGAACACACGAAGCGATGCGAAGTCTCGTCCCAAGCTAAGTAGAATTGAGGACACCTTCAGTTCCTTCTCACATTACTCGACATGTGACGTAGTTATTTATCAGCTAAAAACAGAATGATTGTGAGTACCTTCCCTAATTTGTTTTTGTAACTATTTATATTAATGATGCTAATAAGTACCTACTTAATCTCAATGTATGACTGATACAGAAGGTTAAATGTCATATATTTATCTATATATAAATGTGTATGTTTGTATCATTATTCTTCTTGTATCCTTTGTCTTTCGAAAGAGAGTTACGAGGTACCACGGCTGTCACCTGATGTCTGTGGTGCTGTTCATGAATACAGGCCACCATTGCCACTTACTTATGTGGGCCATCAGTTTCTTTACCATTTTAGTCATCATTTGCGTCTTCCTTATCCCATTCATTTGGGATCGGCGTAATACTTATTCTTTCCATTACTTATCCGTTTTCGCAGACATTTCGTTATTTAATCCCTATCCTATTATACCATCTTTCACACAATCAATCCATATCATTCTCGGCCCTCCTCTGCCCTTATAACCATCCACATTCATATGTAATGTATGTCTTATTTACCGTTCTAGTAACATTTAATATATAATATACTACTAGCGACATACCGGTGCAATTATTGTAATGATCTTCATGTGATTTAATATGTAGGATTTATTAAAAGATTTATAAAATCGTTTTTTTTAACAATAATTTATTACAATAGAATATTATTTATTCAAATAAACTTAAAATAAGCCCTTTCGAATAGCCTTACTTATTTTTTTTATTCTACCTTTCATTCGAAAAGCTGTCCCATCACAAGAAGAACGAGCAAGAAGTTAGCGTGTTGCTGTTTTAAATAATTATTGCAACTACATTTTTAAATTGAAATGTGTGAATACAAACTACCAAATAGCACTTCATTAAATAGTCAAAATATGAAGTAGGTACAAAATCAACAAACTACCAACTAGCACTTCATTAATTAGAGTCAAAATATGAAGTACAAAATCAACTGGTTATGTAACTAAATATGATAAAATATCATACAAGATGTCTAGGTAAATGCATACTAGAGTGTATTGATTACAAAGAGACAATCAAATCGTTCTACTTTATGACAGTAATAACTAGTAACATAGTTTTAATTGTTCATCACAGGAAGGAGATCTTGCGGGCGAGGCCGTAGTAGTTACATTGTAGCAATGACGACCGTGACTCGGGTGTTCATATTGGAAACAATAATTTATAGGAATGTACAGAAAATGTAAAATATTTACATATTATCTATACTAATAGTCTAAATGCTTAAGTCTGTCTGTCTTACAGGATCTTAATCTTGATACTCGTTCACGAGTGCAACGTAGTCGTAGTGACTAGTCACTACGACTTAACTTACGACCAGTTGATTGCGTTTTTAATAAATTGACTGTAATGAATTAGTGCTAGTTGGTAGTTTGTATTCACACACTTCCTCTTAAAAATGTGAAGTTTCTATATAAAAATTTTAACTTACGAGAATTATTTAAAAGAACAACACGCAAGATTCTTGCTTGATCTTCTTTCGATGGGAATGAGCTTGAGCTTTCGGAATGAGTGATAAATAAAAAGAAGTAAAGCCAAGTTTCAAGTAAGACAACTGGCGAGCAGCACCGTGTGTGTATATTTACACGAACCATTTGGAGCCACTTTTGACCCCCTCATAACTCAAAAACTCTTTCACATAAACCTGTCAAATTTGGTTCATATATTGATACATGCGAGATAAATATGTGTTCCAAATTTCATAAACATATCTCAAACGGTTATTTAGATATTAATGTCCAAAAATCGTCATTTTTATCACTGATCAACTATAGATCAAAATTATAACCCACTTCCAGATGACCTAGGAAGTTCAAATTTGGCATGCAGATAGGTAATTAGGTGAATATAAAGGAAAAAATCTGAAACTGGTAAATTGTTATCATTTTACTACAATTTTTCACTTTAATTGATTCTATTTCAACTTATACTGGACGAATACTAAAATTCTATGAAAACGTCGATAGCCACCAATTGACATGGATCCCTGGCGAAATATCTCATCTTATACTGGACGGAAAGTAATATTGTATGAAAACGTCGATCATTACCAATTTACGTTGACCCCTTCACATCAGTGTCGATAATTAGCAAACTTCAAATATTGCATTGAGCTGTAAACACTAGTTGCTATAATTTAGATTCTGTCTAAAATATACTCGTACTTATAACTAGGAGTATAGTCGAATTTCGTATTTATTATGTTATTAACTGAGATTTGGTATTAATTATTGTTTCAATATTTAGCGCACATCGATAGTGTGAAATCATTATTTTTATAAATAATTATTAAATAATAGGCATTTCGGTATAGGGCGCCGCGGCGGCGCGGCGCTGTGTGGAAGCGGTGCGATAAAACTCAATGTTTTGTTTCTCGATATCTAACCTATAAGGTTGCGATTTATGCTACGAAATTCATAGCTTTCTTAAATTATACTTATATATTTGTGGTTATATTATTATTACATTATTTTAGTAAATACGTATGGTATAGACAATAGTTTAAACCAAAAATTAATAACAATTTTAGTATAGTTATAAGTAGGAATGTATAGTTAACTCGAGAATGAGAACTCATTGGTAACAAATTGTTTTCTTGAGAATTCAATAACAGTCAATTTGTTACATAATCGTCTTTACTAACTATAACGTGTCAATACGAAATTTCAGATATTAAATAATGTATATGTTGAAAGAGAACAATTCCGTATTTGCTTAACATATGCTATTACTATCCACAAATCACAAGGCCTTAGTTTTAGCAGTCCTCTTCTCAACATAGGCTCCTCTATATTTAATAAAGGGCAGGTTTACGTTGGACTCTCCAGAGTTAAAACCTTAGATGGAGTACGTCTTAAGAATTTAGATCCAAGTCACGAGAGCTCTATTGTAGAGTACAACCATCTACGCACTTTGTACCGCCCCGATTTGCCCAAAAATTCCTGATACTGAATTGGCAATGCACTTGAACATTTAAAAGTTACAAGAAAATATAGAAAATAAAAAGGACAATTATACCCCGTAAATATACGAAAATACAGTAATTTATCAAAAATAATTTGGTATTAATTTAGTTATAAATAAGTACCTCGTATAATTTATGTACAAAAAGTAATGATATCCCATTAAAAACATAAATGTGAAATGATAGCCGAGTTTAATATTATGATATATACCTTGATTGTTGACTTCTACGACAAAAGAGATGAGATCTAAATGGGTGCCAAGTTCAATGGTCTGTCCTGAAATGTATTTATAACAATATAAAATATCATTTCTTCTTATAACTTAGGATAATATACTGTAGCCTAAGGTCTAACTTGGCTAGTTTTCATATACGAAATATACTGTAGCCTTCGCAAGTTCTAAACATGTTACTTTCGGTTCCTATTTTAATATTAGTACTAACTAGCAATAGAAAGTAATAATTGGTAACGACACAGAAAACATCTATTATGTAGGTAATAAGTTCTTTTAAAACAATGAGCACTTGATACCTATCCGTTTTTTTTTCTTTATAGCACATTCGGAATTATTACTGCTATACCAAGGGCCAGTGGTTTCGCTCACGTGAAATTTATAGCTTGTGTTATTATGATGTATAAGCTATATTATTGTAGTTTCATTAATATATATTCAGCAGTTTTTACGGGAAAGACTTACAAATATCCCTCCATATTCACGAATTTTCGCGTTTATAATAATTAGACAACTTTATGTTTGTCTTTGCTTAATTAAATAAATAATTAAGATGCCTTTTGTTTCTATCGTTACACAATTATCTTCATTTTCAGAGCTTCTTTCATGCATATAAGCCAGTTTTGATGACTCTTCTAGAGACTTCTCTGTCAGACAAAAAATGATTTATCATAGTTTAGTCTGGTCAGTTCTCCATACCTGCGTCCTTTCATATTTTTTTTATTAGGGGCTTTTTGACTTTTGTCTAGTGCTAAAACCTGTAACACTGTAACCTGCATAGATCTATTGTGCTCGCCCTTTTTCAAAGTTCTCATTATAAGTATGTATTGTTTGTTAATACATATATGGTGTTTTATATAATACTCATCATTCACCACACCTCTTTTTCCATCAAGTAGGTTAAACAAATTGAGCATAGATATTTACCTTCTCATAATATTTTCACATTTTTTTTGCCACGCACACGTGCATCAGAAATACCATTGCTGGAAGGTAATTCCGCAGAATTACCTTCCAGCAATGGAATTACCTTCCAGCAATGGTATTTCTGAAACGACATGGTATAAAAAACTTACGCCTTCCTAAAAGACCGGCAAGTTACTTGCAATTCTCCTGGTATTGCGGGTGTTCAGATATACTTTCAAATGCATTTAATGAATAGTTGTTAATTTGAAAATCCCGACAGTTCTACTTTATTTTATAGTATATTTTTTTACAAGAAAATAAAAATATGCTTATATTTATTTATAATTGAGTAGGTACGTAGCTATCAGTCGAATTTGTAACCTGATAGTTGTTTTATCAAAATCGGTTAAGCGAATAACGAGATATAGTTTGACCCCTTTTTGTATCAATACAATAGTAACAAATGGGTCTAAAATGAAATGTAAGTGATGGTGTATTACCAAAGGCGTCCCAACAATCCAACAACTTATCAGATATTGTAGCAAAGAGACAGTCTGTTACAGTGTAAGTCTTTGGGTTGGTCTTTTGCTGACATATAGGTATAATATTTTTGTATTTATGGTGTTCAGGAATGCGAAACAATGAGATACACACATCTCTCTCCCTTCAACACAAACACGACAACTACAGTCGGCAAGAGAGAACAGAACAGAATAGAAAAGTTATTTATTGATTTACATATAGGTATATTTAGAAGGTAACTATATAACTATAATACGGTCCTAATTTTATTATTTCGTAAAACTTACCAAAAATTGTAACTTACTCTACTACTAAAGAGTAGAACAGAAAATTCTTTATTAAAATATAACTTAAATTTAAGCATTTTAATAGTCATATTACTTTTTTTTTATTATACCGCTTATTCAAAAACTCGTCTCATCATAGTATATACTAAATGTTAAATTAATTATGGTCCAATTTCGACCACTAGATAATAATAATACCCAACAATTGTACCTAATATATGTTGTTATTTTATGTTTGTGCAGTAAATATTTTGATAACCTAATAAAATATTGTACACACAATCAAGTTATTTAGTTTTTTAAGTAAACAGTATTAAATAAACTATGTTATTGAGAATGGAAAGAAACACGACATAATTGGGAATAAACAGATCCTTAATTTTTACATAAACTCTTCAAGTAAGTTAAAAACCATCGTTCTAAATAAATATTCTTGTTCCTGACGGGTCCAGGTATCAAACTTTGAAAAAGGGCGAGCACAATAGGTCTATGTAGGTTGCAGTGCTACAGATTCAAGCACTTGACAATAGCCCAAACCCTATATTAAAAAAAATAAAAAACATTTAGGAAACATTCATAGATACATTTTGATTACGTTAATGATAGTTAAGTCTCAAGTTAATGATAGTGGAGAAGAAAGTTTTCCTGACAACGAATAATATTACATCCAAATACTATCCAGAGTATTCAGAGTATATATCAGCTGTCAATGTATTACGTATATTATTCGTCTTTAATTTTACATCAAAACATTTCTTATCGTACTACAAAACAACAAATAAAGAACTAACTTACTAACTAAAGAACTTACAAGTATTAGCAATTTTATATTTTCTTTCAAGTTCATATAGCAACAAGTGAAATTCACCTTTATTTCTATATTTTTCGTTTCAGATGGTAACCACATTTTAAAATGCAATATGAATAAGGATTTCATCAAAGCTTTCCACCAAACTCCTATTTAAGCTCTAGTTTGAGAAATTGTCCATGTTTTAGCTAAAACAATGCAATTTCTAATATGGAAATAAATAAGACTCTAGTATTAGACCATTGTACTCATTTATGCTAAAGTTCGTTGTTGCCAGCCCTCTCTTTCTACGAGTTTCAGCTTAATCGCTTCCGCAGGTTGGGTTATAATGGTTGTTACCCCTAATTGTAGCTTACGAGGAGTATCCTCAGCCAACTCTACGCGGTATTTCTTGAGTAATGTTATAATGCCAGCCATCATCTGCATTCTCGCGAACCGCATACCTGAGAACGAATAATTCAATTAGATTTCAAACAACTTTCTTTTAAAATCTAACAAGATAGTAAATAACAATAGTTGAGACTTTTTCAAATTTTTGTTCGAGATTTGGGTAATTAGGTGTTCATTTATAGTTAAAAATCGTATTGTGAGGATAAATATTTGCATATACACATGTCATTAAAATTTAGTAGTGTCCCATAGGACAATTGTATGAATATTAGTTTTATTAGTAATATTTTCTTTTTTCATTCTGTGTTATTCTAAAGTTAACACAATAAAAACATTTATGTAAACGGAAAATGGAATTTATCTACATTATTTTACTTTTTTAATTTATTACCTGCTACCGTGTTTACGAATATTAAATTTTGAATTGAATATACTTTTAGAATAATTAAAATATACTATTTATAATTTTGCCTGGTTGATGTTTTGACCAACGGACATTTTCGTTGGGCCATATGGATTTTACTTAATGATCGATAAAACATAAGTTTATTTTGTGTTAAGACCTAATTAAGAGTTTCCATACCAGAATTTGCCTAGCTTCATTTCATTTTCTTACTTTAAAGTAATTAGCCTAATTATTACATAATTAATATTACCTATACACAGTCGAGGTCCTTCTCCAAATGGAAGATAAGTATACGGTTTGATATTTTGTTTCTCATCTCCGTAGAATCTTTCTGGACGATATTCTTCAGGTTCTGGAAAATAGTCGGGATGACGGTGTATATGATACACAGGGATATGGATGCGCACACCCTTATCCAGTACTGCACCACATGGAAGAGTATATTCCTCTACCACCTCACGTGTTAGAACTCCAAGAACTGGATACAGACGCATAGCCTCGTTGATACAAGCTTCAACGTAGGGTAACTCTGTAACACACTCGTAACCCAATTTTTTTTTGTGACGAATTAAATAGTCATCTATTTCTTTAAGTGCTTTATCTTGTGCCGCTGGACTCTTTGCAAGCTCATATAGTGTATACTGCAGTGTGGTAGATGATGTTTCGAAACCAGCCGCAAAGAATAGTAAACATTGTGCTACAAGAAATTCATCATCAACTTTGAGAGTTATTTTTTTATCGTCGCCTTTCATATTTGTTATTCTGTCACCGGTGATATATTTTTTTTCATTAAGACCCAACACTAGATCTACAAAGTCGTTTCTCATAGATGGCTTGTATTGTCGTTCGATAAATACTTCTGTCATCAACTTGTTAAAGAATCTATCCACTTCCGTGGGGAAACTCTTCATGCCAACACCATAAAAGATTGCGGGCCAGATAGCGCGGGCGAAAACTTTGAAACCCCTATAATAAGTTTCTAAAAATATAGCCCTCCCTATATGAGTAAAGGGATTATCATATGAAGCCTTTTCCATAGTTTTCGTATCTATGCCAAAAGCACATGTGCCTATACTATCCATTGTGTATCTGGCTAAGAGTGTCCTAATTTCTAAAACAGGACTCTTACCGAATTCATAATCAAGCATGTCTTCCAGGGTGTGAGAGCACTTTTCAATCAAATAGAACATGCTCTTCATTTTGGATGATGAGAAGAGTGGAGTTAAGTTTTGCCGTAACACCTTCCACCTATCTCCGAAAGTGAAGAACAAGTTTTGGGTGATAACTTCCTTATGAGTATAATTTGAGATTTCCCTACTGCTGCAATAGTAGAAATCCTTCGTTAGAATTTGTTTTATAATATCCGGGTCTTGAACCATGAGCGTAGGTTCAGTTCCATAGAAGGCGCCGAAGTATGGCGCGTTGGGGTATTCATGACATATCGATTGGGCTACTTCCGGCATAGACTTTCTCATAAGCAAATATTCACCATAATTACCTAGAACAGCTACTGGTTTCGCGTAGGGTACGTTCCGTTTAATCCAGTAATTATTTCTAGTCTTAATGATGTAGTAGACTATTAACAAAATCGCTGTTAAAACTACGAGTACTAACTCCATCTTTACTGACAATAAACTGCGAGCCGCGTATCGCACTATTTAAAATGGGCAAGATGTTAGAACATTTTAAGTGGTTAAGTAATGTGACCATACTTCCGCATATCAACGGAACAAATAATATATTAATTTACATCCATTTATAATGCAATATTATTTATTCTAAGATTCTTTAATACCTTTCACAAAAATTTGTTTTCTATGTATACTATGTATGTTACATACATACATAGTATACATAGAAATATTTAGAAAATATATCTAAGTATTTATATCTGTCGTCTAGCACTCACATAAGCGCTTCTTACCTTGGGACTAGATGACGTTGTGTAATTTATCCAGTTGAATGTAATTTGAAAATAAATTAATAATAAAAATATATTATTCTGTTTTTGACGACATTCATATAACTGTAATGGAAACACGATATATATGCATCTACGTATATGTAGAATATAAATATAGTCGCACGGACGGACGACTCAACATAATATATACCTATATATTATGTTGAGTCGTCCGTCCGTGCAATTTTCATAAAAAAGGATACAAAGTTTTTGCTCCATGTATACTTATACGTTTTATCAAATTTAAAATAAAAAATAATTTATTTATGTAGGACATATCTTCGATAATGGTATAATAGAAAGACTCCTTATGATCTATTTGTTGTTATCCTCATCCTGGTCCATCCTGAAATTAGACTTGATAGATAAAGTATCATAGAAACGATTATATTAAACACAGTTTTAAAAAAGCATAAACAAATTACATATGACCCAGCTTTAGAAAATAAAAGAAGGAAACTTAAAGTTGTATCAGTGCCAAAAACGAAAACCAAATTCGCGAGTATACAATGTGAAAAGCAAACTGCACTCTTGTATAATACAATAAATGAAAAGATAGCTATATACCCTAAACATTATCGTGAATGTAAAAATATACTAATAGATTGGATAAAAACATTAAATTATAATGAAACTGAATTACTGCTGCATCATTGTTATCAATGCTAAAACTGTTGTGCAAGATTACATACACACACAAACACACGCACACACACACACACACACACACACACACACACACACACACATATGTATATATATTCCTATTTATTAGAGAGAATTTTTAAGATAGATTGAATACAATGTTTCCTATAATGTATGTACTTTAAAATTGAATTATATAACTAATTATTTATAGTATAATAAACAAGAAACATTTTACAAAAGTGGTGATATAAGGTATGGAAGAGCGGAGCCTCCTGGCACAGGCATCTTTATGCTTAAAAGGAGTCTTCAACAACTGTAGAATGTAATTATAAAATGGTGTTATCTAAATAAAGAATTTTGTAATTTGTAATTTGTAATTTTGTAATTTCATACTATTTTTTTTAAGTTGTTCGAAATGTTGGTCTTCCTAACAACTTTACAATCTTTAACAAATTACTGTGATAACATGTATGGGACTGTTCTGCTCCGTTATTTATTTTTAGGGTTCTTCAGTCATTGTTCCGTATTACATTACTAACGTTTTCCAAATTTACTTCATTTTTAAGCCCCAATATAAAAATAGGGATGTTTATTTGACGTATTTGTGTATCTGGACTGTGAATTAACTGTTTATGATGCGGTTTTTTTTTGTTTGAAAACTTGAACCATTTACTGTGTTAAATATTTATTCAGGTTTCATATTACACTATCAATTCTTTATATTCCTTAGTAACTTCTGTTTACATTGTTACTCGCAGAGACCTAGCTTTTGTGGGTTATTTAAAATTGGTCATGTGTTATTTCACTTTACTCATCATAATTGAATTTCTTTACTTTTCTTTAGTTTTACATTCTCTCTGTCGGCATTTCCGTCATTACTATCTATTATTTGATTAATTTTCTATTTTTGTGTTGCTTCTTGTATATGTATATACATTTTATGACATTCTCTGCACCACACATGATTAACTGCTGAAATATTCCGCAAATTCGCCATATGTACTTCTATTTTTGTATTATGTGCATTACAGTTATCATTATATTAGTAAGTAAAGCTAAAACATTCTACCCCCTTTTTAGGAATATTGCGTGGAGGGAGGAGTATGAAATACATATATACAGAAGGAGTGCAGAATGTATAATATAATGTCACAATGTAACTTACATACCATACTCCTCTCAACCGGCTTGAGCAATTTTTATGAAATTTATATACATATGCAGTAGATCTGAAAATCGGCTACTATCTGTTTTTCATATCCCTACGTGATAAGGGTTGTCCACCCCTAACATTTATTTTTTATTTCTTGGACAAATTTTATTTTGTTATATTTATATAATGTGGCATTAAAAATACATACAACCCTTAATTTTCACGCCTTCACCACCACAAACCCTTATTTTTAATAGCTATTTTCATTTATATGGCAAAATCGTTTGCGGGGTTAGCTAGTTAGGTATAAAATATATTAAACGAAAAAAAACATTGCACACACTACTAATGTTAAAACTTATTTGAATTAATTCTAGCCGAATTTCGACCCAACTAATATAAATAAATAAAATAATCTTATTTAATTAGAGAACCTCAATTAAATAAGATTATTGTCACACCGCTTCATTTTTTGAAGCAATCCATATCTCCTAATCATATTGAACTAAATAAGCAAAATAATAATATACAAATAAATATATATATAATTTGTGCGTATTAGCTTTTGTTTATAACAAAAAATACCTAACAATGTATGACTTGACACACAACAAGGTTCATTATTGGCTAATTAATATGATCGTCGAATGAACGTAATTATATTATTTTTATAATTATATTGATTATCACTCCAGCGTCACAGTAATAAGATAAATATAAATTTGTTTAGATTATATCAAAAGGCCATATCATTCTTGACTAGTTCTGCTATACTATTATGCTATTCTATGGTTATGTCTGGCCATAATTGTGTATAATTTTGAAGTTTTCAACAATCATGGATGCTTGTAGTAGACTCATTGTACATTGTTAATAATAACAAAGGTTTAAGTAATAATCTAGAATGAATAGCAAGGCATATGTTATCAATAGAATAGACTAGGATAAAAAATGCTTTATTCAAATAAACTTAAATTAAATCACTTTAGAATAATCATACTTATTTTTTAATCTACCGCTCATTAGGAAACCTATCTCGTCACAATAAGAACGAACAAGAAAGTTGTGTGTTGCTCTTTTAATTAATTAAAATTCAATATTAAATTTAAGTGTATTGAAAAAAAAAACAAAAATACAAAATAAGAATAAATCAGTCCCAGTAATTAGACCAGACCAGTACCCACAAGCAGTATTCGTTCACGAGTATGACGGATGACCAACATTCACTGCTCGACCATATATTAGAGAGCACAATGCCCAATCGTCAATAATATTCATCATCATCATCATTAGCTCACTACAATCTACTGCTGGGCATAGGCCTCTTCCAAGGCATGCCACTGGGCACGATGTTCAGCCCTTATCTTCCATTTATTACCAGCAACACTACGTATGTCGTTGTTCCACTTAGTTGCGGGGCGTCCTCTGCTACGTTTACCAATTTGCGGTCTCCACTCTAGAATACGTTTATTTTGTCTATTCTAGCGACCATCGGTTCTGCGACAGATATAACCAGCCCACTGTCATTTCAACATGCTAATTAGTGGAGCTATGACCTTAGTTCTCTGTCGAATTATTTCATTACGGATTTGATCCCTTAGAAAATGCTTAGTATACCTCTTTTCATAGCTCGTCGAGCGACTACAAGTTACATCGTCAATGTATCATAAATATTACATACTACGTTACTCGCGTTACTTTGTCTGCACACTTACTAGACATTTATCATTATATTTTGCACAATTTACATATCTTTTTTGTTATGTAAGCGATGCTTTTTGTAACGGCCAGTTATGTAATAAACGAATTTGAAACACTCTCGTATCGTTATTTATCAGTGGAGACGAGGAAAAAAAATATAATGTTAATAGGAAAATTAAGGGAATTTAGTTCAGATGACGAACATTAGAGATTATATTGTGAACGGATATGTATTTTGTGGTGAGCGATATAAAACCGGAGTTTTGACAATTACTAACTTTAATATCTCGGCATACAACTTAGTAGTAAATTTGTGCAGTCATCGGAAGACTGCACGGTTAAAATTTTACTAAGTGATCTCAATTATGCAGAAAGATATACAACCCGTTCCGTCATTGTTATGTGAACGATTTAACTTGACAGACGGTCAATGAATTGTACAATATGTTGAAGAATTAAAGAATCCGCAGAATATAGATAATTCTGCGGATTCCGTACATCTTAACATTTGGAATTTATATGTGGAATATGGAGTGATGGGATAAGGCAAAAAATATTTGCAAAGGACAAAGTCACCTCTAAAATGACGGTGTCATTGGCGTTATCTTTGGAGGCAGCGGTGCGGAACGTGAAAACGAAGATAAATTGAATTATGGAAAACGGGAGTGCAGTTCAATTAAATTAACACGCGACATTTTACGAATCATTATCGTTTTAGAGATTATGTATGTAGCCATTATAAAAGTATGGGTCATTTGCGAATTGCATGTATATATGTGGTACGTCACCAGGATTCGTTGAAAGAGAGGGGATACGGTCGCAGCGTCGCATGGATACCAGCAGCGGCAACAGAGCACCGGCAAACTAACGGGCGACTACTTTTTCTAAGGACTGCTCTAATGCCGTCGGCCTCAGTTCGCCTTTACAGCTTTACCCGACGATAAAGGGCGAGAGCAGATGTCACTCCAAACCATCTGCACTCGTCCCCTGTCGTCGCAGTCTCCAAAAGTCCGCAGAAGAACTTATGGAGCAACAGTAGGCCAACTCATGGATACGACTTTAGTCTGAAGGCACCACTTGGGGTTCGAACCTCAGCTCAAGCCGTTGTAATTTTGATCCTCATTTTAGTTGAACGAGGATCGATCGGAGGGGTAACGCGACCACGCTGTGAAGCACATTCTCGGGAAGGTTAGGGACGCCGAAAATCCGGACAATAAAGAGGAAGACGTCACGGAAGAGCCAATATTTTATTACTAGCAAAATATAAAGCCATTAGATTGCCCGTTTTTGTTATTAACCAAATTATACTAAAGGAAGTCGATACGGATTCGGCGTTGTCTTGTCTAGGAGAAGAAGTATATGAATATAAATTTAGTAAATAATATTTAAGTCCGTGTAATCTAATAATTAAATTTTATGATTGTAGTTAAATAACCCCACGAGGTTTAATAAGAGTACGAGTATTATAGTTTATGTGTTATGCACTGCAATTATAGCTGATGAGCTATAAAAGTTTCATCGAATCTAGTAGTTTTTGCGAAAAAGAGTAACCAACATCCATCCATCCATACTCACATACTTTCGCGTTTATAATATTAGCTGTGATATTAATAAGATTTAATTCAGTTTCAAAATATGAATGTAGAGATTTCTAAAAATTTTCCAATTGGTATTTAAAAATCTATAGGTGTATTGCCTATACATAGTTCTTATTCCGTCCGCTTTACGAGCTTCAGCTTGATTTCTTTTGAAGGTTGGGTTATCATTGTTGTTGGTGTAAATCGTAGCTTACGTGGTGTGCCTTCAGCCAAATCTACGCGGTATTTCTTGAAGATTGTTATAATTCCTGCCATCATCTGCATCTTCGCGAAACGCATACCTGAATATGTACATAATCATATAATAATTGTACATATATACTAATATTCTGTGTATAAAGAGGAAAGATTTGATTGTTAGTATTTTATCGAATTAAGTGTTATTTTATAGGAAGTCCATTTCATTCATTTTATGGTTATCTATTATTTTCAGTACTTCCGCTACAATTAGCAAGTGTGAGACCATTATTATTCAGTGCGGAAACTTGACTGCCATTACGACAACCACTAAGGTTGACCGATTTCCAACTATTTGTTATATAGTTATTGAGTCTATACCTATATTGCAACACGTGTTTCTAACTAACTATGTTCCTCTGATCAAGGCATCATCAGGCATCGTCGAATATAGCTTGGAAGCCTAGTGTTACCTGTTCGGCGACCAAACCGCGACTATGATTGTTGGTTTTTGCATTTTGCTCCGTAACTATTGGTGTGTCATGATGTCCGTAGTGTTGTATACATTAGACATTATGTATATAGGCGACGATTACTGTTTAACATTAAGGCAGTCTGCCTGTTTGCCATTCTAAAAGTGGAGATACTAAAGTGGGACCATTCACATCTGTCATCTTATTTTTCACTTATATGTAAAAGTCGGACTAGATTATTACTAGATTTTTACATGCATTAAATGTAGATGTGAAATGTAACAAACAGGCAGACATGTTTTCAAATTTATATTGTATGTAGTTGCGGAAGTAAATTATTATTGTTTATATTGGACTAATATAGATAGAAGTAATAAAAACTTGCCTATACAACGTCGAGGCCCTTCACCAAATGGCATATAAGTATACGGTTTAATGTTATTTTTCTCCCTATAGAATCTGTCTGGACGAAACTCTTCAGGTTCAGGGAAATGGTCGGGATGTCGGTGTAGATGGTACACTGGGATATGAATGCGCAATCCTTTATTGAGCACCGCGCCACAAGGGAGAGTATACTCCTCCATCACCTCACGTGTAAGAACACCAAGCACTGGATAAAGTCGCATGGCCTCGTCGATACAAGCCTGGACGTACGGTAATTCTGTAACACACTCGTAGTTCAATTTGTTTTCGTATCTGTTCAAGTATTCATCAATTTCTGTAAGTACTTTCTCTTGTACTTCTGGACTCTTTGCAAGCTCATAGAGTGTATATTGCAGTATAGTAGATGATGTTTCGAAGCCAGCCGCAAAGAGACCCATAGATAAGCCAATGAGAAATTCATCATTTACTTCTAAATTTGAATCTTTATCTGTTATATTCATCGTTTTATCACTAGTGAGGTATTTATTCTTCTTAAAATTAAGAATAAGGTCAACAAAGTCATTTCTTCCTGTTGGTTTATACTTTCTTTCAGAAAACACTTTTACCAACAGCTTGTGGAAAAAAATATCAGTTTCTGTAGGAAAACTCTTCATTCCAAGCCCATAGAATATAGCTGGCCAAATATTTCTAGCGTACATTTTGAAACCCCTATAATAAGTATCCTTAAATAGGGTATTTCCAATGTAAGTGAAGATATTATCAGTATAATTGTTATCCATGGTTTTCGTGTTTACACCAAAGGCACACGTACCTATGCTGTCCATTGTAAACCTTGACATCAGCGCCCTAACTCCAAAGACTTGGCTCCTGCTGAACTCGTAATCAAGCATGCTCTCTAACGCATGACAACATTTTTCAATCAAATAGAACATATTCTTCATTTTTGATGTTGAGAAAATTGGTGTTAAGTTTTGTCGTAACACCTTCCATCTGTTGCCGTGAGCGAAGAACAAACTTTGGGTGATAACTTCCTTGTTAGTGTACGCAGATGTTTCCCTGCCATTGCAGTAATAAAAGTCGTTGATTACAATGCGTTTCATCAACTCCGGGTCTTGTACTATAAGCGTAGGCTCAGTTCCATAAAAAACGCCAAAGTATGGTACCGTGGGGAATTTACGACATAACATTTGAGCAACTTCTGGCATAGATCTTCTCATAAGCAAGTATTCGCCATAATTGCTTAGAATAGGAATTGGTTTCGCATACGGTATTTTTAATTTCTCCCAGTAACATATTTTTTTATTTATTACACGGTATGTTAGGTAAAAAAATACAGTTAAAGCAATTAATATTAACACAATCATTGTTCATTACTAACTAGTTGCAGTAAAACAATGTATATTTAAAATGCCCGCAGATACTTTATCAAGAGTCTCTAACCTAAGGTGACCATATCTTAAGTACTCTCAATAATATGATAATATAAATACTTTCACTATTTTATTTATGTTATGACCTCGGTGGTCAAGTGGTTTAGCATCTTGCTTCCGATGGCGACCAAAAGAAGCAAGATGGTGTGCATCCTGCGGTTCGATTCCTCGCACGATACAAACATTTGTATTCGTGCGTATGATTGCTTCGTATTGAAACGTGTAATTGTAATTACCAAGTAATTGTATTCTTATAATTTATCCTAAAACAATAGCAGCAAATAATTGCATAGCAGAGGAGTTGCAAAGCTCGAACAATTTGTCAGGCGCCCTCTTCAACATCCACCAGACTTCAACCCTCCGAACGATCCCTTGTTAAACGGGCATAGAAATTACGACGGGCTGAGTTGAGGTATGAACCCGTAATGGTCTCTTCAGACTACGGTCGTATCCGTCAGGCAGGATTTGCCCTTTTGCCGCTTCTTTCTTCCGCGGGTCCTTCATTAGAGTAGTGCGAAAAAAATTGGATGACGCCAAACGTCGCTTTGATGACGACATCACATTATCGACTAATAAAATGCGCCGCTCATCACGCGATTTTGAAAACCAATAAATTTTTAATTGTAATAGTTGTTGCAATAAACGTTCTATCGGTACCAATTTTGTTATTTATCAAACTACATTCATACAATACATTTTACAACAGTTATAATGGCTTCGTAGTATATATTGAACAGAACAGGACATTGTTGACTACATCAGGACTAAAAGCAACCTGACATTGAGGGTGACGCAGTTGGAATCGAGCCACAACGCGAGCTTCAAAGCGTTCGTGGCCCTGGTCCCCAACATGCTGCCCACCTTCAAGAAGGAGGACTACTGGCCGAAGGGGGTGGTCTATCGGCGCTACCGTGGCAGATTGCCGTCGTCAGTGCCGTGACCATAGAGACAATTTTATTTTTCATATTTTATTGTTATTTCTTATGTATGTTAGTCTATAAGGATCGAAATTACGACGGCCTGAGCCGAGGTTCGAGCCTCTAGCGGTGCCTTCAGACTTAAGTGTATGCGTCAGGCGGGAGTTGGCCTTCAGCCGCTCTATTAGTCCTTCCGCGGGTTTGGAGTACCATCTGCACTCGATCCCCTATCGTTTGGTAAAACTGTAAAGTAAAGGCCAGCGGCAGCCTTTTTTTCCTTACGAAAACATAGTCTTCCTATACCCAATTAATAAATAGTAGTCGCTTGATAACAAATAGTATTTACAGCTATGTTATATTAATATGTACTTATACTTGATTTAGAGATCCTTGTTTCTCGTCATAGTCAAAATAGTTAACTATAGGTAATATTTCACTAGAGAGGTTGACATACGATGACTGATCACCTATAAAATCATAACCTCTGATCTGGTGGTAAGTGAGTAGTGTGGAATTACGCCAAAGCAACGCTTTTAGGTGCTTTTGGATTTAAAAATTAATGTTCAACTATAACTTAACAAGTAATAACCATTAGCTAAGTGCATTTATTCAATACGCATATGTAAAGATCTAAATCTCTATAAATAAATAAAAGGAAGTGACACTAAATGCATATGATCACTTTTACAAAAACTATAATTTTAAATATTTTTGTCTATCTGTTTGTTCTTGTTAATCTCAGAAACGGTTGGATCGATTGAAGTCAATGATAAATCACTATATTGAGTAATTTAGGCTACTTTTATTTAAAAAAATATCAAATTTAACTCAACATGGACGAAGTCGTGATTAACAGCTTATAGAAGAATACATACATTACCAGCATGGGTCGCCGGTGGAACGTTTCATTCAGTAGGTGATCATTGCTATTTAATTTTAAATAGAGAAATACATCGATGGCTAACCTGCGTAAAAAAATAGAGTTATCATATTAAGATCAATCTAAGATTGGTTAGAATCTTTGATTGTGGACATATTATTATTCGGATGTGAGAAAGTATGTCTAACTAATTTATGATTTTAGAAGAGAAAGTTTCTTATTGTACTTAGGTAAATAACGCCTGCGAAGTTTTTTATAGCAATTTCGGACATGCACATATTAATGTTTCAGTTTGTACAGTGGACCGGCTATGATCAGGATTTTAAAAATGGATATTTGCAAACTATTATCTTGTACTCTATATCGCGGTACCAGTGGAGGTTGACTGAATGACAAGGATCTCCATTCCGAGCAATCCCTTCTAGGGGAAGGGGTTGTTCGAAAATAATTATAAATGAATGAATGAAACTCTTAGTTCCTCAAACATTAAATACAGTTATATACACAATCTTTCATAGTATAAAATAATGTCGCTTCCCCTTTTTATTTCCTTTGATCTTTTAAATTACGCAACGGATTTTAAACCAGTTTTTAACAATGGATAGAGTGATTCAAGAGGTAGTTTTATATGTACGAGGGCTACACTGAAAGTTTTTAGAACTGGCTACTTGAGAGCAATATAATAAAAAATATTGTTAAAATTTTGAAAATGGAACTCTTTATGAATAGTACTGAGTATATAATTTATTCGTATGTCATGTGTTTTACGGTTTGGCGGCAAATTGAAAATAGTCTGTGTAACGTTATCATGAACTTAACACGAGAAAATTTTCGTGTGATGATTTTTCATGACTTTCGATGTCATCTAAGTCAACAAGAAAGTTATGATAGACTACTATTGGACTTCCACGATGAAGCCCCGTCTCGTGCCACTGTTTACAACTGGTTTAATGAGTTTAAACGTGGTCGCACTAATCTCACCGATGATTTGCGTGAGGGACGGCCTTCTACGGCGACAACCGAAGATAACATCCGTGTTGTGCGGCGTATGATAGAGACTGACAAAAGAGTGACCTATCAGCAGATCGGGGCAAGCTTAAAGATTGGTATGAGTCAAGTGCACAAAATCCTCCATGAACATTTGGCGGTCAGGAAGCCTTGTGCCCGGTGGATACCTTATAATTTCACTGAGGCTCAAAAACTCCGTCGGGTTGATTGGTGCCGTGAAATGCATGAAAGATTTAATGGAGGTGACTCAAATTCTGTGTTTAACATAGTTATGGGAGACGAAAGCTGGATTTACTGTTATGATCCCGAAACTAAAAGACAGTCAGCTCAGTGGGTGTTTCCTTCTGAGGAGTTGCCAACTAAAGTGAAGGGAGGTCGAAGCATAGGAAAAAAGATGTTGGCCTCGTTCTTTGGAAGAACAGGTCATTACGCGACAATTGTTTTAGAGGATCGAAAAACAGTTACTGCAGAGTGGTACAGTAACAATTGTTTGCCACGTGTTTTGAAAAAAGTGCGTGAGAAACGACCTCGCAGTAGGATCCTCCTTCACCACGACAATGCTTCGTCGCACACCGCCAGGCAAATGATCGATTATTTGGCGACCTCAGACGTAGAACCACTGGGTCATTCGCCTTATAGCTCCGACCTCGTACCTTGCGATTTTTATTTATTCCGAAAAATGAAAGAAAAAGTTCGAAGAAAACGTTTTATGGACGCCGAGGATTCGGTGGCTACGTTTTAGAAGGCCGTCAAAGAGACCCCTAAGGACGAGTGGGCAAAGTGCTTTTCTCAGTGGTTCTATCGGATGCAGCGATGTATTGACGTGAATGGACACTATTTTGAAAAGATAAAATAAAGGTAATAACTTGCTAATTTAATCAGTTTTTGATTTTCTAAGAACTTTCAGTTTGACCCTCGTATTACACATGCGTATTATAATATAGAATTAGCCGAGTAATTCAAAGATATGTAATTCACCGTACCAAGTCGTGACGGATCGCTAGATATACATATATATAAATAATATAATAAGACAACAACGGGCGACATTATTGTTAAGAATCGATCTCTTAACTAAGCAACCTTACGATGGGGAAAACTTGAGAGAAGTGATTAAACTTGCACCTGTGCGTACGTATGTATGTGCACAAGCCGCTACCTAAATTGATTTATTGGTACGAGTATGTACAGCAGGCCAAAACATTCATCCTCTACTCAGTTATGGAACCCTCGATGGCTCCTGCAACTCGTGTTTGATTCATTTGTTTATCGTTACTTATTCAACCTTCAACTCGCTATGTGTATTCCGAACGTTTTTGGAGCAATCTGCTTTTTTTTTTTCCTCAATGTATATTAATGTTATTAAGAGAGAGATTGTTTTTAGAGGAAAGTAAACTACGGCACCAATTGAAGAGCTTCTTTCATTATTTTTTATGCATCCGTCTGCCCTAAATGCTAGCGGGGCACTACCGCAAGATCAGTTTGTTGACGAGGTGAACTGAGTTTAGTCAGATCAGTCTAATGCCCGAAGTTATTTTCCATGATGTTCTCAAGCGGGACCGCATGTGAATATACATGGTATGTTGCAAGCAATGAGATTACTAGTCATATTATCTTACACGTCCTACCCGAAAAAAAAATTATAGAGCTTTCAATAAGTAGCTTTAGCGAAACCTTAATTCTTGAAAAAACCTCATGCTGTAATCTCGTGACAAAGTCTCATTTCACAATCTAAGTGTACGCAGGAAGAAGCTCCTGTAAAACCGCACTGTCCGCGACCAATAAGGCTCTAGCGTGTGGGGTTGAATTCCCTGTTGATGGCGAGCGATGTGTTAGTAAAAGTTAGCCATCATGTAGACATCATGTCGAACAATTCCTCATAACACAGTCCAAAGTACATTCGGTAGGGCACACGAAGCGATGCGAAGTCTCGTCTCAAGCTAAGTAGAATTGAGGACACCTTCAGTTCCTTCTCACATTACTCGACATGTGACGTAGTTATTTATCAGCTAAAAACAGAATGATTGTGAGTACCTTCCCTAATTTGTTTTTGTAACTATTTATATTAATGATACTAATAAGTACCTACTTAATCTCAATGTATGACTGATACAGAAGGTTAAATGTCATATATTTATCTATATTTAAATGTGTATGTTTGTATCATTATTCTTCTTGTATTCTTTGTCTTTCGAAAGAGAGTTACGAGGTACCACGGCTGTCACCTGATGTCTGTGGTGCTGTTCATGAATACAGGCCACCATTGCCACTTACCATCATGTGGGCCATCAGTTTCTTTACCATTTTAGTCATCATTTGCGTCTTCCTTATCCCATTCATTTGGGATCGGCGTAATACTTATTCTTTCCATTACTTAACCGTTTTCGCAGACATTTCGTTCTATATCCTATTATACCACCTTTCACACAATCAATCCATATCATTCTCGGCCCTCCTCTGCCCTTATAACCATCCAAATTCATATGTAATGTATGTCTTATTTACCGTTCTAGTAACATTTAATAAATAATATACTACTAGCGACATACCGGTGCAATTATTGTAATGATCTTCATGTGATTTAATATGTAGGATTTATTGAAAGAAGATGACGGCAATTAGAATAATAATATAGACTATATTACACGCTATCTATATTTGAAAGATTTATAAAATCGTTTTTTTTTAACAATAATTTATTACAATAGAAAATTGTTTATTCAAATAAACTTAAAATAAGCCCTTTCGAATAGCCTTACTTATTTTTTTTATTCTACCTTTCATTCGGAAAGCTGTCCCATCACAAGAAGAACGAGCAAGAAGTTAGCGTGTTGCTGTTTTAAATAATTATTGCAACTACATTTTTAAATTGAAATGTGTGAATACAAACTACCAAATAGCACTTCATTAATTAGTCAAAATATGAAGTACAAAATCAACTGGTTATGTAACTAAATATGATAAAATATCATACAAGATGTCTAGGTAAATGCATACTAGAGTGTATTGATTACAAAGAGACAATCAAATCGTTCTACTTTATGACAGTAATAACTAGTAACATAGTTTTAATTGTTCATCACAGGAAGGAGATCTTGCGGGCGAGGCCGTAGTAGTTACATTGTAGCAATGACGACCGTGACTCGGGTGTTCATATTGGAAACAATAATTTATAGGAATGTACAGAAAATGTAAAATATTTACATATTATCTATACTAATAGTCTAAATGCTTAAGTCTGTCTGTCTTACAGGATCTTAATCTATGATACTCGTTTACGAGTGCAACATGTAAGTACTAAATTATGTTATCTGTGGTACTAGTCACTACGACTTAACTTACGACAAGTTGATTACGTTTTTAATGTATTGACTCTAATGAATTAGTGCTAGTTGGTATGTAGTTTGTATTCACACATTTCCACTTAAAAATGTTAAGTTTCACTTAAACTTACGAGAATTATTTACTTAAAAGAGCAACACGCAAGATTCTTGCTCGATATTCTTTGGATGAGAATGAGCTTGAGCTTTCGGAAAGAGTGATAAATAAAAAGAAATAAGTATGATTATTAAAGTGTTTAAATTTAAGTTTATTTAAATAAAGAATTCTATATTTTATCAATTTTTTTAATGACTGTCTTACCTACCGATAGTCTCGGGTTTGATTTCTCGCACGGTACAAGCTTTGTTTGTATTCATAAGTGTGATTGTTTGTATCGGTTTGGGTATTTCCTATGTATATTAAATGTATTTATTTCCAAAAAAATGTGTCCATATATTTATATCAGTTGTCTAGTTTCCAAAAGGTCTGACTGTCTGTCTAAGTTACTGACCGGATCTTAATAACATTTCTTAATGACAATCCCAAAGTTATGATATATGATAAAAAACCAAAGTCCAAAAAAAAATTATTTGGTTTATAAGTAGCAGTTTAGATGTTTCAGAAATTTTTCTCGCATTTCTTACGTAACTCACAAAATATTGCGAAAAAATGCTATACATATTATGATTTGACCCAATCTTCATGTAGGTATTAAACTGTAAATAAATATCCTAACAAAAGTTCTAACGCATGGTCACATACGTCACTTGTTTGTACACATTAGATTTATTATCGATGTGCGTGAAGTCAGTACATTCTCGGTTACAATCAGTGACAACGTCCTAAGAGTCGTCATGATAGCGCAGATTCTCATTATTGTATTTGTTATTTGTTATCTTATATACCATGTTTCAAAAAGAGAATTCGATTATTGGAAGAAATGGAACATACCGTACAGCAAACCGTTACCTTTCGTTGGTAATTACGGGGAATATATATGCCTGAGGAAGTTTATGGGGCTAGTTGCGCAGGAGATTTGTCAAAAATACCCCAAGGCACCGTACGTAGGAGCATTCTTTGGATGTAAACCCACACTTATGGTTCAGGATCCTGATGTTATAAAACTGATCATGGCAAAGGACTTTTACTATTTCAACAGCAGAGAAATAGCAGATTACGCGCACAAAGAACTTATTACAAGAAACTTGTTCTTCAGCTATGGAGATCGGTGGAAATTATTACGGCAGAATCTGACACCGTTATTCTCATCAGCAAAAATTAAAAACATGTTCTATTTGATAGAGAAGTGTGCGCATGAGTTCGAAAACTTGCTCGATTATGAATGTCAACAAAACAATGTTATAAAGGTGAGAGCTCTAATGTCAAGATTTACTATGGACTGCATTGGCGAATGCATATTTGGCGTCGAAACAAGAACAATGGAAAGAAACTCCGAGAATAATCCTTTCACTATTATGGGGGAACTGATATTCAAGGACACAAATTACAGAGGATTCAAACAAATTGCACGATCAGCGTGGCCGTCGGTCTTCTATGGTATAGGACTTAAAAACTTTCCAGATGATATTGTTAGTTTTTTCCACAAACTAATGACAGACGTATTTGCTGGACGCCAATATAAACCAACGTCGAGAAATGACTTTGTCGATCTAATTCTAAACTTGAAACAGAAAAATTACATAACCGGGGATGGAATAAAGAACTCTAAAGGGGATCAAACCAAAATAAGTCAAAAGGTGGACGATGATTTTCTAGTGTCTCAATGTATTGGCATATTTGCAGCAGGTTACGAAACTTCAGCGACGACTTTACATTATACATTGTATGAATTTGCAAAAAATGAAGAGATTCAAAACCGAGCTATACAAGAAATAGACGAATATTTAAAAAGGAATAACAATAAGATTGGTTATGGATGCACTACTGAATTGCCATTCCTTGAGGCGTGTATTGATGAAACACTTCGCTTGTATCCAGTTCTCAGCGTTATTACCCGAGAGGTTGTTGAAAAATACACATTACCTTGCGGTGCAGTATTAGATAAAGGAGTACGTGTACATATACCAGTCTATCATATGCATCATAATCCTGAATATTTTGAAAACCCCGAAGAGTATAAGCCTGACAGATTTTTGGGCGATGCAAAACGTGATATCAGACAGTATGCTTATCTACCTTTTGGTGAAGGACCTCGTATTTGCATAGGTAAGTTTAAAATCTATATTTTAAGAAAATCTGTTATTGACAAATATACATAATAAATTCTTATTAATACTAAAGTACATTAGACAACAACAGTCACCGAGATATGACTATAATCATAAAATTAATGTATTTAAAAGTCTTTACATAAAATGGGGTCATGATAGAAGCGTTTGAGAAGGGAGATAAATACAGGAAACAACTGATAATGTTGAATAACAATACATAAATATTACATACTAGGATTAAATTTAAGAATGATCCTATACATACATATATAAGATGTAAATATATAAAATGAAAGAGTTACTATTTGATATTCTAATGCTTAGGAAAGTTGGCGGGCTACTTCTCTCTATATTAACTTCTTAACTTCTCGCTTAAAATAAAGAAGTCAGGATGAAACCTGAGTGAAAAAGAAGTAATGGTATGGACGGGATCAGTTACTCAAGATTAGGGCAACCGCCATTTTACCCACCTACTGTATTTAAAAAACCTAAAATGTATTTTTTTTAATGTTACAGGAATGCGTTTTTCAAGGATGCAGATAATACCTGGCATAATCACAGTTCTGAAGAAATACAGCGTGAGACTAACAGAAGATACTCCTCTTAAATTAGAGTTTGGTGCCAACACACTTGTAACTCAGCCCATACAGGAGATTAAACTAAGATTCATTGAAAGAGAAGGATGGGTTGATCGTTTATTAGTATACGGCGAGGATAATATAACTAATTAAGTTAATGTAGAAAAAACTAAATGTGTTGAAATTTAAATAATGATTTATGCATCTATCTATTATGAAGAAGTATAGCGTAAGATTAACAGAAGATACTTCACTAAAATTAGAGTTTATATATCTATCCTGAAGAAGTATAGCGTGAGAATAACAGAAGATACTTCACTAAAATTAGAGTATATATATGTATCCTGAAGAAGTATAGCGTGAGAATAACAGAAGATACTTCACTAACATTAGAGTTCATATATATATCCTGAAGAAATATAGCGTGAGAATAACAGAACATACTTCACTAACATTAGAGTTTATATATCTATCCTGAAAAAGTATAGCGTGAGAATAACAGAAGATACTTCACTAACATTAGAGTTCATATATATGTATCCTGAAGAAGTATAGCGTGAGAATAACAGAAGATACTTCACTAACATTAGAGTTCATATATATATCCTGAAGAAATATAGCGTGAGAATAACAGAACATACTTCACTAACATTAGAGTTCATATATCTATCCTGAAGAAGTATAGCGTGAGAATAATAGAAGATACTTCACTAAAATTGATTTGGTCCCAACACATTGGTGATTCAGCTCATACAGGAGATTAAACTAAGATTGAAAGAGAAAGATTGATTGATCGCTTATTAGCATACAACCAATTAAGTTAATGTACAAAAAAATTTTAAATAAATTAAATTACGTGTTTATTAGTGTATATACATCTACACTAATATTAAAAAAGGGACCGGTCCTGTAAATTACTATGGTGGTGGATAGCCCACTTGCCTAGGAAGGTTGTTGGTATATAATATCACGCTAAGATCAATAGATCAATAGGAATGGAGCAACGAAAATGTTACAAAAATGCAGACAAAGTGGCGCGGGTCAGCTAGTATATATCTTATATATAAAATTCTCGTGTCACAATGTTAGTTACCATACCTACCTACCATAACGGCCTGACCGATTATTATGAAATTTTGTAGGCATATTCAGTAGGTCTGAGAATCGGCTACTATCTATTTTTCATACCCCTAAGTGGTAAGGGACCCCTAAATATATTTTTGTTATTTTTTCGACATAATATTTTATTTTCATTTTATTATTATTTAGGATTGAAAAATACATGCAACCCTAATTCTTCATCCATCTACCATCATCCCCTATTTTTCAATAGCAAGTTTAATTTATATGGTAAAACAACGTTGGCCGGGTCAACTAGTTAATGTTATATTAATTAGTTTGCTGTCTCTACTGCCAGCCAAAATATCTGATAGGTAATGGCAATAGGGCATAAGTTTGTTTCGTTAAGTATTGTTTAGATTATATTGACAACTGTCAATATAGTCAAAACTGAATATAATATTAAACAAAGAGTTTGATGGTTATCACGTTTAAAAGACGGTTACAACTTTCAATCAAATGCATTTTGCCATTTTATTTGCATGAAATTAAAAATATTATAAATTTTGTCTGTACCCTTAACACACTATTTAGCTTGGGCTATTATTAGATGGCGCTGTGTGAATAACATGATGTCCTGAGATGTGATTATTAGTATCAATATATAGAGCTGGTATTGTAACTCCTAAGGCAGCCGACTGGATACCTAGACAGACTAGGTACCTTTATATGTTAATTTGCAACTATAATAATAATAAAATGCCCGCGTGTTTGAATGAAAGAAATTACCCCTGTAAAAAGGGAGATATATAAAATATATGTATATAAAAAAATACATATCACAAATCAATTAACACAACGCCATCTAGTCCCAAGCTAAGCAGAGCTTGTGTTATGAGTACTAGACAACTGATATAAATACATGGATGCATTTATTTTTGTAAATAAATACATGTTATACACAGAAAATACCCAAACCGATAAAAACAATCATACTCATGTATATAAATGTTTGTACCGTGCGAGGAATCTAACCCGCGACCGAATCGAATAGTAAAACGGTATGCTAAACCACTAGACCACCGAGGTTGTCAAAGGCATTACTATTACGCACTTTATATGATATAAAAGCGTGTCGTGAAATTAAAGTAAAATATTTATTAAAATCAGTCACATCAAAAATCTCGGGACTAGCTTTTATCTACACATATAAATAAAATTGGAGTGTCTTTGTAATATTGTAATAACCGTTTTTACTACATGCATACGAATATCAATACGGTACAAACATCAAAATTACATTCCTTACAATTTTTGTGTGTCTGTCTGTTTGTTCCGGCTAACCTCTGAATTGGCTGGACCGATTTTGACGGGACTTTTTTTGGTAGGTAGCTGATGTAATAAAGAGCAACTTAGGCTATTTTATTTTAGGAAAATAACGTTAAATTCTAATGATATATGCGATTGTTGACTTCTACGTCAAAAGCGGAAACAAATGTTCTGTCCTGAAATGTGTTATATAAATAATAATATCATTTCTTCTTATAACTTAGTTGAGCCCGCGATTTCATTGCTAGTTACTACTAATAATAAAATAGTATAAAATTTATAGCCTATGAAAACGCCAGTGTTACACGCTGCAGATACGTTACTAACGATTTCAGTTTCATTTAAAAGTCCATTAAAATCCATTCATAATTTTTGCGTGAAATATTAAAGAACGTCCATCCATCCATAATTATCGATATAGATCACTCACTCACACACATACACACATACACACATACGCACACACACACACACACATACACACACGCACAACTTAAAACTAGATGTATAACTAATTTATATGAAGGGGAGACCTGGTGTCTAAGTTACAGGCTATGGCTTAGTTTGGGCTCCAGATTTCCCACAAATTATATTTGTGATTTTTATTTGATAGCATTTATATAATAAAACTAAAATTATGTAATTTGTGGAGATGAAATAAAAAATTTATTATTATTATATTATCCGTCCATCCTCACAATCTTTCGCATTAGCAATATTAGTAAGATGTATCAATAAATCAATGATTTTGAATCAATAAAACGATAATTTTAAGTTGCAAAGTACATTCGAAAATCACGAGTTAAATAAATGCGTGTATAATTATTTAAAACATCATCATAATTTAATAACTGCGCAGCAACTGGCCGAATATTCAGAGATAATGCAAATGTTAGGTACCAACTCCAGTATGGAGCCTGATTATTACAAGTAATATCTAGACTGACACCTCGTTGATCCGGAGTCGTTGATAGGGTTTTAATTAGGTTCATTTTGTGATGTCTACAATACTGGTAAATTAAAAAAATATATACATATTTATACGTATAATTAGTATAACGGGATCTTACCATGTTTTATTTTTATTGCGATCCTGATATTTCGGCAGTTTTTCAACCGCCATGATCATGGGGAGCTCAATAAAAATAAAACGTAAGATCAAGGTAAGATCCCATGATTTACTAGTTATACGTATTTATAAATAATGACCGCGTCAAGTTTAAAACATTATTATATATATTAGAACGTTGGCTACTAAAATGTGACAACCTCGGTGGTCTAGTGGTTGAGCACACCGCCTTACTTCCGATGGTCGAGGGTTCGATTCCCCGCACGGCACGAACATTTGTATTTCTGAGTATGACTGTTTATATCGGTCTGGGTGTTTTCTAAATATAATATGTATGCATTTACGAAAAAAAATGTATCTATGTATTTGTATCAGTTCTGTACCCATAACACAAGCTTTAGCTAGCTTAACTTGGGTTTAGATGGCGCTGTATAAATTGTCCTTGGTTATTATTTATTATATATTTAGAAATGTTGTGTATTCGGTGTCTTCTATTGTTAAGGAATTTCGCTGTTGACATATTTTAAACATTTTAATTTTACCAATTATATACATATTTCAGTTTTCTAAATTAACTTATTAAACCCCTACAAAATAAATTTATGTTTTGAATAAAATATTTGCAAAACTCAGTCAGTGAAAACAATTCAGTTATATAAGTTAGATATAAGTCCTTAATTGTAATAATAATTTATAGTAATATATATACCTACATATATAAAAAATCCTTATATCCTTAACTATAATAATGAACAGTATTATCACCTATATGATAAAAAACCCCTATTTCACTTGATCACGGTATCCCACGCGAACGGCTTGGTATATTCGATAATTATTTTAATGTTCTATTTGTTATTGTCAGGAAAAAGTACTTATGACAGAAAAAGATTAAGTATGTTGCGCGGAACAACTCAATATTCATAGTTAAGTTACGTTTGTTACAAAATATAATGACGTATTCGGTTGCCTAGCAGTTTAGCACAGCCTTTTTTCTGATGATCAAACATAGGTGTAATGTTTTGTATTGGTCTGGGTGTATTCTATGTATATTCATATGTGTTTACGAAAAAAATGTACATAAGTATTATATAAAATCTATAGTATCCTTATGCTATTTATGCTATCGTAGGACTAAATGGAGTTGTGTGTATGTATTGTTTTGAGATACATATGATTATTGGACATTACTACTGCGAAAGAGTATGTATATTAAAGTTATAAAAAAAATCTCAAAAGAACGTTAGGCATGGTCACATTAGTCATTTATCAGTCTGTATTGTTATTTATTACGAACTGTTAAATTAAATAATATAACATAGTTTGCATTAATTAACTAACCATGATCGGGACAGCCTTATTTGTGTTAATAGTAATTTTACTAATAATATACAATGCGATTGTTGAAAAAAGTAATTATTGGAGAAAATTAAAAATACCATATCTGAAACCCTTACCTTTACTTGGAAATTATGGAGACTACGTACTTATGAAAAGATATTTCGGCGAAGTCGCTCAAACAATATGTCAAAAATTCCCCAACGCGCCATACTTTGGGGCCTTCTATGGAACAGAACCAACGCTTATGGTCCAAGACCCGGAGGTAATAAAACAGATTATGACAAAGGACTTCTATTCCTGCAGCGGCAGAGAGATATCAAGTTACTGCGATAAAGAAGTCTTCACAAAAGGTCTATTTTTCACTTCCGGTGACAGGTGGAAGTTGTTACGGCAAAACTTGACGCCACTGTTTTCTTCGTCAAAAATGAAGAACATGTTTTACTTGATCGAAAACAGCTGCCACGGGTTCGAGAGCATGCTTGACCGTGAATTTAGGAAGAACCAAATAGTAAGAATCAGGGCATTATTCGCAAGATTCACTATGGACAGCATAGGGACGTGTGCATTCGGTGTAAACACAAAAACGATGGACGAAGTTTCCGACGACAATCCCTTCACATATATAGGGAAATCTTTGTTTCTAGAGACATATTATAGAGGCTTTAAAATTATTGCTCGAGCCATTTGGCCGGCAATATTCTATGGTCTCGGGTTTAAGAACTTTCCGGTCGAAGTGAACACATTTTTCCACAAATTAATGACGGACGTGTTTACCGAAAGGAAGTACACGCCGACGGCGAGACATGACTTCGTTGATTTAGTGCTGAAGTTTCATGAACAGAAATACCTTACTGGTGATAGAATAACAAGCTTGAAAGGAGAAGGGGAGAAGATAACTATGAATGTAGACGATGACTTTCTGGTGGCGCAGTGTGTCATATTTTTTGCGGGTGGTTTTGAGACATCTTCTACAACATTGCAATATCTTCTTTATGAGCTTGCAAAAAATCCAGAGGCACAGGACAAATTAATCGAAGAAGTGGATGAATATTTGAAACGACATAATAACAAATTAGAATACATTTGTGTGACAGAGCTACCATTTGTCGAGGCATGTCTAAGTGAAACTCTACGTCTGTATCCAGTATTTGGTGTGTTAACACGTGAAGTGTTAGAGGATTACACTCTTCCATGTGGAGCGGTGTTAGATAAGGGAGTACGTATTCATATACCAGTTTACCATCTGCATAAAAATCCTGTCCATTTCCCAGAGCCCGAAGAGTATCGACCCGAAAGATTTTACGGAGACGAGAAGGAAAATATCAAACCATACACTTATTTGCCTTTCGGCGAAGGACCTCGGATTTGCATAGGTAAGTTAGCAGTTTAATATACTTTTTATTCATACTGTACTTAGATGGAAATATCTCTCACTAAGTTGTGATCGTGTTTAACATCGTAAATTAAAAGTACTGAATGGACTGTTGTTCAGAGATATAAATGAAAGAGACAGATGTACCCCACTATTTTTTCCTATATATATACAGAGAGTGACGAGATGTTGTATGTATAAGTCTGCCATGGTGAAATGTAATTTATTAATAATTCTTAACTGCTTCATATATTAAAACTGCTGTTGGCTTTGCAAAGGAAATATGGATAAGATTAACAAATACTAAATACTTCCAGCACATATTTATTAAAAATATTAACATTATAATATGTTAGTATAATATTATTATCGACATTGTGGTGAGACTACACTTGACACGTCTATATTTAGCTGGATTCAAATATAATCTAACATGACAGGAGGAGAGTCTACCGCAGTTTCCGGGATTAATGCGGTTTGATATTGAAATTTCCGTTACTGAAGATAAATAAATTTGTTACTTCTTTATTTTAATACCAGCATACATATATAATATGACATTGGGGAGAAAGGAATTATTATGACCGTTGATCCCATTGCTAGCAAAGTATTATGTCAGCATAACCTCCACACGTTTCCCCTGGTACCATCTTGATAAATTCTTAGAGAAGTTGTCAAGATGGGCTGACCTGAACTGACCTAACTTCATGCATTTTTTATTATCCTCCACCAGGGTCCCGTCATTACTAGCAATGTACCATACGTTGCTAGCAATAAAGTTATCAGTCCACATTATTAGCAGTCCCTTTCCCCTATTATACAATAAATGTGGCACATGAAAGAGAAGAAAGCAGTTTATTTAAAAACTACTAGCTGATCCCGCGGTTTCCCGCATGAAATTTATAGTCAATGTTGTTATTCTGATATATAAGCTATATTATAGTAAACTTTCATTAAGATCTATCCATTAGATCTATTCAAATTCAAATTTGAATTTGAACAAACTCCCACGAATTCACAAACTTCCGCGTTTCTAATATTAGAAAGATGTTTCGATTGTAGCGTGCAGATTAGGCAGTGAAACTGCAGTATAAGAAGCATAGTATTTTCTGGAGTGGCAACGAATGAATATCACGGGTATCACATGACAACGTGGTGTCCGTGATCAGATGAGCCGCCAGCTTGTTTGCCATTGCCATTACAGAAAAAAATTATTCCTCAGGTATGCGCTTCGCGAAGATGCAAATGATGGCTGGCATTGTAACATTCTTCAAGAAGTACCGCGTTGAGTTGGCTGAAGGTACACCACGCAGACTGAATCTTGGAGTGAAGACTATTGTGACCCAACCAAAGGAGCTGATACAACTGAAACTGGTAGAACGCGAGGGTTGGGAGCAAAGGATATTGGCTTAAATGTGTTCATTATCTTTTATAGTTTGTTATTGACGACCTCGGTGGTCTAGCTGTTTAGCACACCGCTTTACTTCCTATGGTCGCGGGTTCGATTCCTCGCACAATACAAATATTTGCATTTATGAGTATGATTGTTTGTATCGATCTGGGTGTTTGCTATGTATATTATGTAAGTATTTACAAAAAAATAATAATATTAAAGTATATTATATCAGTTGTCTAATACCCATTACACAAGCTCTGCTTACCGTGGGACTAGATGACGCTGTTAATTGTCTAAGATTATATAATTATTTATTATTTAATAGGTTTTGCTAGCACAGGAAACCTCATTTTGTATAAAGCTATAAAATTATTTGTAATAAAAAAAGCCTCTTTTTCTATCTGTTATCAAGGTCTATCATTTATCTGTGTTTGCGATCGCAAATAGCCCTTTACTTTATTTAAAAATAAAATTTCAAATTTCAAATTTCGAACGTCAGGCACAGAACATCGATTCTATTTTATATACAATTTTGCACTCCTTCTCGAACATTCCGTGGCGTCATTATTAAAATCAACGTACAATACATTCAAAATATTATTTTTATTTCAATTTAAAACAAATCAACCACTGCAATATTCCTCCAGCAAACAATCTGACTAATATTATAAACATGGAAGTTTGTGATTGTGGATGCATGGATGGATGTTTGTTAGACTTTCACGCAGAAACTGCTGAATGGATTTTAATGACACTTTACAATAATATAACGTATACATCATACATACATAATAACATATAAGCTATAAATGTAAATTCATGAATATGTGTTTTATTATCTAAATTCTTGTCAACCCCAATACAACTACAACTAAATATTTTTTAACAACAATTTAACTTTATTTTTAATAATTTATCGATTTTTCACTTAATTATTAACAACAATTAAATAATTAGTGACTGGGAGGGATCTATTTAACTAATGAGATTTATTAGCGCACCTAAAGAGCGTAATCTCAGAAGGAGCATGTAGTATACTCTGATAAAAGCCACACAAATTTGTTAATTTAAAAAAATAACAAATACAAATTATAGAATCATTTATTCATGTGAAGAACATTTTAGCCGCTTATGAACGTCTAATTAATATTTTTTCCTACCCTCCAGATCAATATTCAGATTGAGAAGAACTGGCTAGAAACTAAAGAGAATTTCTATTTTCAAGAGTCAGTTTATTTATATTGTATACTTATGTAGATGTCTATGTCTAACATTAAACTAAAATCCCGTACAGGAACAACTATTGCCATGCACGTTTGTCATTTAAGTAATCGTTTAGTGAGTAATATGCTTTGCTCAACAAATATGATTTAATAGATATTTTAAATTTATTAGAAGATAATTCCAGTATTTCCTTTGGTATCTTACAGTAAATTTATATACCCATTCCCATAAAAGACTCGATGACTTTTGTTAGACTTTCACGCAAAAACTGCTGAATGAATTTTTATGAAACTTTACAATGATATAGCGTACCTATACATCATAAAAACACATAGGCTATGAATGTAAATTTATAAATATCTCACCTTTTTTTATTATTTAAATTGAATTTAGGGTTTTTGTTACCAAATATGTCAACCCCATTATAACTATAACTCAATATATTGTTAACAATATTGTTAATTTAATCTTTTTTTAACAAAATATCTTTTAAAAGCCAGTGTATTTACACTGTATACTTATATAGGTGTCTATGTCTAACATTAAATTATAATCCCGTACATGAACAACTATTGCCATGCACGTTTGTCATTTAAGCAATCGTTTAGTGAGTAATATGCTTTGCTCAACAAATACACTTCAATAAATATTGAAATTTATTTGCAGATAATTCTATTATATCCTTTGGTATCTTATAGTACATTTTTATACCCATAAGACTCGATGACTTTGTCTAAACGATACTTACAAAAAATTACTTTAATGAGAATTCTTGAAAGAGAACGTCTTTAAATCTAGTATATTATCTGGTATATATATCTAGTATATAATATAATTTTATGAATATAGTGTCTATGTCTAATATTAAATATAAATCCCGTAGATGAACAACAACTATCACCGGAAATTGAATTAACTTACATTGTAATTTAGTCAAATATATATCCATAGGTCTTTTATTTGCATACTATGGTGAGTTTGTTAAATCCATTAATTATTTAGAAAGTTCCGAGAGAGTTCTAAACTTTCTTTGTTCTTAAAAGGTTAGTTTAAGCATAAACCCAATTCAGAGAGGTCCAATCTCTCCGGCGACTGTCCCTTTTTGTCCCCGCGGGACATTTGAACTCCAACGTGAATCTAGAAGTTGTTGCATATTTCACATTGAAAGTTTAATTGGGCGACAAGAAATTCATCGTTAGCTACTGGGGGGAATAAATGAACAATTTAATTTTATAAGAAATTGAAATATTTTTTACTAAGTTAAACATTGTAAAAGTAGGTATAATAGAATATAACTAGAAGCTTGAAACCTATTTTTTAAGCTGTTATTTCAATATATATAAATAAAACAAAAAGGTTGTAAAAGTTTGAAAGGGGAGTTGTAAGATTATAACGAAGTATAGTCATTTTTCAAGTTAGAAGCATGAAATTTATTTTTAGGTTTTGTTATTAAATATAAATAAAAAAGGGTTGTAATGGGTTGAAAGGATTTATGGAAGTATAATTATTTTTAAAGCTAGAAGTTTGAAACTTATGTTTATATAAATAAATATGACATTCAAAGTCTGTTGTTACCCTTAAGGGTTTAAAATAAAATAGGGGATGTTTGTATGGAAAATTGATATTTTTTAAACAAGAAGAACGATGAAACTTTTATTAGCAATTTTGGGTTAGGTAGCTAGTAATATAATAACTCAGGACAATTCACACAGCGTCATCTAGTCCTAAGATATGCAATGCTTGTGTTATGGGTACTAGACAACTTATATAAATACATGAAAACATTATTTTTGTAAATAAGTACATATTATACATACAAAACACCCAGACCGATACAAAAAATCATACTCATGAATACAATTATTTGTACCGTGCGAGGAATCGAAATCGCAACTATTGGAGTACAGCGGTATGCTAAACCACAGACCATCAAGGCTGTGTCACATTTAGATGTCATTTAAATTTATATATTTTATTCTATTTGTGAAAATAAATAATGTATTTAATGTAAATGAAAATTCAACTCTATACTCGGCATTTTCCTCTAATCTGGGCTGTTGCGTGTAGCGTGAGCCAAGACTACTAGCCAGCCAAGCTCCTACCAGAAATACCAGCCTCCGAGTGTCTTCATAGCTTCAGGGAACGTCCTCACCATTACGACGATTTGTGTTCGTTGTGTGGACACAGCTACGCATTCCAGGAGTACGTGAGCCGTTGTTTCTTCGGCTTCAAAGCAGCTCCGACAAAGAGGACTGTCTGTAGCACCTATTGTGTACAAGTGTTTGTTTGAGGGACAATGGCCCGTTCTTGTTCTTATCATTGTTTTAGTTTTTTAGTTAGTTTGCCTATTTAGTTTCAGTACGCGTTGTATGTAATGTAACAATTTTTATATTTATTGTGTATGCTAATACAGAGATTAATTAAAAAGAAAGTAAAATATATTTCATATCAAACATATAACATGTAAAAAAAAATACATAATATAACAAAAATTATAATTAATTATTTTAAAAAATACACGTGCGACCATATTGGTTACTACTCAGCTGTACTGCCCAAACGCTGATTTTCAGTGGAATCTTTAGTTAATTAATTTAAAATTACAGCCAATCATATACTACAAATGTATATCATACCAATGTACTACTTCTACGTACAGTAATTAATCAATCAATTAATTTATCATTATTTGCGATAATGATAAATTAATTGATTGATTAATTAAAACACGAAATTAGATTTGATCACGAAGATTGTCCAAATTTTTAATCTCCTAATCATGTGACATCATTTGACTATAAGGATACGGTCAATGATCAGAATATTCGTGTGACAACTCAATATTCATAATATTAATACTAGATATAAAGACAAACTTGCTGCCCCAAGAATCGTTTATAAAAAGTCAATAGGTCTTTTTAGGGAATAGGTATAAAAATTTACAATAAGATGTCAAAGGATATACTGGTATTACCCTTAAATAAATTCAAAACATCTGTTAAATTATATTTTCTGAGAAAAGCCTATTACTCACTAAACGATTACTTGAATGACGAGCGTGCATGGCAATAGTTGTTCATGCACGGGATTTTCATTTAATATTAGACATTATGTAAATATACATTCTATGTAATCTGGCTTTAAAAAAATTGTAATACGATTAAGTTTCTTGCCAATTGGATCTATATACTGAATTGGACAAGGGAATAAAATTATAATATACAAAATGTTGATTTAATTTGAGGTTATGGTTAAGTTTTTTACCCAAAATCAGCTCTGTATAGATGCAACTCTCTGAAACTGTGCTCCATACAAGCAACAGCCGCGGCAGCTCCAATTGCCAACTGATCTATGCTTTTTTAGATTATTCTCGTGTATATTTTTTTAAATTGGAAATTTTGGTAATAAAGGATTTTTTTATGTAATTTATGGATTCCCCTTGTGTCTATTATAGCGAACATCTCATTGTTCCCATTCTATACCCTAGGTGTGTTGTCACACACACAAAGACCTCAGAGACAAGGCAAGGACAGTACACGCATACATGTATATCTTTTGTATGTGTGTAATTTATTGATGTGTGGAATAGTTACCTATTTATCAGGGTTGTAAGCGTAGCTCCAGCCTCCGTTGCTACACGTTTACGCATGCGCGTTTGTCCCCCACACCTCTTCCGATACTATGCTGTCATATTTGTAGGGTGGCCTCGATTTATGACATGATGAGACAACTCTATGTTTTTTAACTCTCACATACAATAAGGGATAGGAAACCATTCATTTTTATTTCGTAGTTTGCATGCTATTGCCCGTAGGTACCACGTATAACTAAACAAAATTAATAGGTCCTGTGGGTTAAGAAAATAATACCACGTAATACATTACTCACTCACACTTCACAGTATGTAGATATTACACACTTGATATACAGATTAGATAAGCATTTTGATGTCATATCTCTGTATGAAGTGTTTATCGGGTGTTTAGTAACAATAATAAAATTAAATAAACAAAACAAATTATTAAGAACAACCAGAATATTTTCCTCTAAAACAGACAACGATGAATAAATCAGTACGCGACAGCCATACAAGTAAAATAAAAGTACCTGCAATTAAACTATCTATAACAAAAAAGAGTCCATTTTGTATGGCGATACAAATATTTAATAAGCTTCCTGACGATATAAGAACCCTCTCTGGAATATTATTTAAAAGAAAACTGCATGAATGGTTAGTTTCCAAGTGTTTTTACTCAATTAAAGAGTTTTTGGAATATTAAAATAATAAATTGTTCCTCATGACATTTAGATTTATATACATATTGACATATACCTACATACAATAATTCATAATTATATAAACAACCGATAATTTAATTAACTTAAAATTTGTACGCTTGATATAAGCAGATTTTGTAAGGGCCATGTTTTTGTATAACATCATATATGTATGTACCCAAAATCTATTGCAAATAAATTTATTATTATTATTTATTATTATTAAATAAAATATGGAAAGTTAAATTACAAGATACGAAGTTTCAGAAATTAAGGCAACCCATTAAAATTACCAATACAGCCACGTAATAATAATAATAATATTCTTGGACGATTCACACAACGTCATACGTATTCCCAAAGTAAGCAGAGCTTGTGGTATGGGTATTAAACAAGTGATATAAATACCTAGTTTTTTTTTGTAAATACATACATGTTATACATACAGCCCGATACAAATAATCAGACTTATGAATACAAATGTTTGTACCGTGCGAGGAATCGAACCCGCGACCATCGGAAGTGTTCTAAATCGCTAGATCACAGAGGCATTGATGACGTGATTTATGTCTATTAATGGTGGTCGCCGCTTTCCACCTGATGGAGGACCGTCAGTTTGTTTTCCATTCAATTTACAATTAAAAATGTGATTAGATTTTGAATACCACAAGGAAACAGGGTCTGCAACACGCACGTGACACCCCTGGTGTTTCCGTCGTTGGTGACCGTTTAACATCGGATGGGCCGTATGCTTGTTTGCCACCATGGTGGTATAAAAAAAGACATTATTATTAAACAAATTATCTTAATAATATTATAAACACGAAAGATTGTGAGTATGGATGTTTGTTATTCTTTCACGTAAAAACTACTGAACGGATTTTGACAAAACTTTGCAGTGATATAGTTTATGCATCAGAATAACATATAGGCAATAAATTTCATGGGGGCGGGGGAGGGGAACCGCAGGCACAGCAAGTATTAAATAAATACCTTAAGTGAAAGTGAATTTTATGTTCATTTGAAAGATATCCTACTATGATTCTTGGTATAAAAAAATACAGTGTCATAAATTATGTAAAATATCATAATACGACTAAAGTCTAATTCAAAGGCATTTACTCATTTATATAAACATTTTTGAATGGCTATTTACTAAAACGGCCAAAAACTCAAGTCGTGTGTTGTCTGTTAAAAAAAATTAATAATTCTAAATTTAAAATATCTTTATATATCAGACTCTTATGATATGTCAAATCTACCGTCAGTTCGGAATGATTTCGAGATGACAAGAAACATAGCTAGTATTATTTTCAAATAAATGTTGTACATGTGTACAATAATACAGATTTATTTATAAATTCAAATTTGAGAGAATATAGTGCCCGCCAGTATATGTTATATATTTTTTAATTAGTCATACACGAGTCCCAATCTCATTGTAATTTACAAATAAAAATGTAATATACATGTCTCAACAGTATTGTCACCCTATAAACACACCCTTTGCTCAGTATAGAGACCCTCTCGGCCACGTTCTCTCGTACAAAACACGACTGAAATAAATATTTAGATAGATTAGATGCAACAAATTTATATTTGACAATAACATATCTGTATTCTGTTATAAATAATTGCAAGCATATCAAATTATCTGAGCGTTTGAAAATTACGCTTAGATATTACAAAAATTTTGTTATTGGTTTTGCAAAAGTCAACTGTGATATTTCAGTGAACGGTTTGTGATGTGATAATTTTGTTATAGAAGATACGAAGAGACATTTCTCTTTATTGATAAGGTAATTATTGATATTTATCTATTATTTGTAGAATGTTATCTGGTTCTTTCTCTCATCTACTTCTGCAGTCAAGCAGGTTGTTTTGCTAACTGTTTTGGTTTAAGATTCTAGGGTGTGGATGGAATTTGCGTCTTAAAATAAGAGTTAGCTTTGAATGAAATTTATTTCGCTTTTAAAGTTAAATTTTGGTCCTCTACGCTCTCCAAGGCCGTAGGGTAGCAGACGTGGTAGGGAAAATAAAAAAATACAATATTTTTTTAAAGGCGTCAAGGAGGTTGCTTTTATAACTATGTTTAGGTTGAGATAAATCAGTGAAATTACAAGATAAGACACATTGTATGTTAGTCCCCTGGAATGGCAGCGAAATATCAATAATGCTGTTCATGGTAACTGTTACCATTTTGCTCCAAGTCAGTTAGACTGTTTGTCTTTTCATAGAAAATAAGATATTGCGGATTATTATTATAACTAGAAGTAAGTTGAAAGCATTTAAGCATTTTAAACGAAATGAATTGAAATTTATAAGAATGTAGTTATTAATTTATTATATTATTATTCATTTTAATTATATATTATTTATAAATTATATTGTACTCTTCCAAATTAACAAATTTTTACAATAGTTATGTTTAACATTTTTTAATATTTTTTTAAAATTAATTAATACTGACATCCATAAATCTCATAATTTTACTCGAAATTTAATAATTTTAGTCAATTTGAAATGCAATTCTTAACGTAATAAGATCACATATATGTGGAGAAAAAAAATTAAATTTATTGCTTAAATGTCTTTTTAGATTGATGGTTTAACATAATCAACATATCACTGATTAAATGCCAAAGGGTCACGACGCAAAAAAAAACTGCAACTATTTTTTTTCCAGAAATATCTAGTATCCTTATAATTTTTATATTAAAAAAAAGACACTCATGATTCTAGTGCTAACACATAGATATACCATTTATAGATTCGTAAAAAAGTAAAAATAGCACAGTGAAAATTTTGATGAGCTCTCCTGTAAAATTTATCGTTTGTGTCAAATAAAGGGGACGAAGTACAGAGATTGACTAATAAAAACACACACACACTGCACTTACTTGGTTTCGGCCCGTAAGTGTGGTATATGCCACAAAACGAAAAAAACACCAAAAGCTGAGAAAATGAGACAACATTAATAATAATAATATATTTATTTTCTCCGATAGTGATCGGCGGAGGAAAATGACAAATAAAGGATGATGATATTTATTTTCTCTAAACACATTGACAAAATATACAGTGAAACTAAATTTATATGCCCAATGGCTCTGTTAGGCATGTACAATTTAATGCTAAAGTACAGATTTGTGGAGACCGCACTAGTATCCGAAGAACATGTGTCACGTTTCACTTTTTTCTCGTGATTTACGGCTGTACTTCTTACGTGCTAAGATATATATACAAGGCTGAGGCTGGCTAAGGTTCTTGAATAAAATAATATTACTACTATAAATTGAGATTTAAGTTATCCTATCTTTCAAGCTGGATCAAATTCCACACAATATTTTTATATACAAAGATTAATAAAAAAATGGTACTTTATAAAATGGTACTTTTCTGTATTAAAGTAAGTTAACATCTGTTAATGATTTATTGATATTGTAATAATTATTTACAAATCAATTGAATTTTTAATATCTTTATACACAGCATAAATTCTTTTGTAAAATGCAAACACAGACGGCGAACGATTCAATTTTTGTGTTATAAATTGACGACCATTTCCGTCGTAATTATATTCTATTGCGAACAAAATTTTATACACGAATGTTCCATTGTATGTCGAGTGATAAATTGTAGGTTTAAAGGTAGCACCGCATAGCTTATTCAAATAATTCAAATGATTCAAGCAGAATTGAAATTGGACTAATGGATGGAGGAGCTGATCGCGATATATATCTCGTGCTTCCGAGCGCGGTAAACGAAAGAAATTAGCTAATGTTCTCATAGCTGCATCGACATCAGCTTCAGAAAATACGGGACTGTCATCTTGGCCCACTCTGTTATTGTCATGTGACAGAAGTCCCACGGCGATGTATGACAGCAGTACGCTATGAACTATATTATCTGTGGTATTGCTGGGTGATTTGCATGAGAAATAAATCAAAGATATCACGACAAGTCTTACATCTTCTGGTAATTCTTGCAAGTAATTAAAATTAAAACCTGCCAAACTGTTCTCCACGAAATGTTCGAAAAGTTTTAGATTTTTCAAGGAGATTCCCCATCCGTTTTCAAACGGGCTAACAGTTGCAGCGTATTCTGGTCTCATTGCCAGCGCATTTTCTGTGGATATAGTTTCCGGTTCTCCATGTTTGTTTATAAATATAAACTCATCTTTTTCATAATTCGTAAGTAAATTAAATGCATACTGTAGTATGTCTATTGAAAAGCGGAGACCGTCTTCATTGTTGTCACCTTCTATAGCCCACGAGCCTGAGATCTTTTTATGGTGATATAGATTCACATACGGAATAGCTACATGACCCAATGCTACGCCTTTCTCGAACCAATCGGGATCCTTTTCATTGATTACAACGTTGTTCCTATTTTCCAAATACATCGTGCATAACCTGCCTGTTTTATCGTCCAATACACGTCTTCTGACACTTTCATATTCCTCCAAAAATCCTACCTGGTCAGTTCTGCTCAAATATTCATTAATTATAATAAACATATTTTCAACAGAAGTGTCTGCAAGCCAATTTAATAAGAATATTAGTTTCGTATTACGTTCTATATCTGCCCAATCTTGTCGTAAATTGTCAAAAAAAAATTCTTCAAAAATTGTTATATCTGTCAATGTGATAAATATGGCTATTTTGTCACGATTTAAATTGTATTTATCTAAAAAGTTATCCAAAACGAATAGTTTACATTCGATAGCATTGTTTTTCTGATTAAACGCAATTGTAGTATAATTTACATAGGGTAATCCGGAGAAACTAAATTCAATGTCATTGCTAAGTATACAACAGTTGTTTCTTTTTGCGAAAGCAATTACATCATCTTTTGCTTCAAAAAGGGATATTGAGTACTCCATATCCATTTCATCCAATACCTGTTTGTAGACATCTTTCATGAAAATTGGTAACACTACATCTTTACTCTCCCAATTAACGTTATTCTTAGATGAGGCGATATAGAAATCCATGTGACCACCTTTAAATATAAAGTAACATTTAACGTTTGCGCGTTTGAACATAGACATGGCACTTCTTAAGTATTTAGCGTATTTGTCACTTTCACATCCATAAACAAATGGCAACTTACTATCCCTGTACTGGTTGTAAAAGAAATTTTGTCCGTCTATTACGACACTGCAGTTCTTTAGTTGATGATGAGATGACTCATTTTGAATTAAATGTCCGAAACCCTTAATCCGCATTTTGTAACCTGAAAAAAAAATTTTTGTAATGAACGTGCGCATATCGTTACTATGGCCTATAAAGTTGTAAGGAACTGCTCACAAGTTTATTTATTTAATAATAAACTAATAAATAAATCGTCTGCGTGTAATAGTAACCTTGGATAGTATAAAATTTTAATAATCTAACCCAAAAAAAGGCCAAACAGAAAGTTTCAATATTAATACTTAAGGGTAAAAATTTTCATTAAAAATTAAAATTTTAAACTCCTTTGTGGTATTAAAAAGTATAGTAAACATATATGTTATATGTTCATCCTCAGGATTTTGACTACCTGTGTACCAAATTTTATTTAAATCGGTTCAATACGAGACAGACAGACTGACAAAGTTACTTTTGCATTTATAATATCAGTAAGGATGTCATATATATGTATAGCATGGAGTATATTTAGTATCAGTTAGTGTAGTAGTACTTACTATGGAAGTGTAAATTGTAACAAAGGAATTGAACTTGCTTCACGCCACAACACTGACTAAAAAGTATATTATGATAATACAATTGCCAATGCACTGTGACTGAAATTTATATTGCGCCTCTGGATAACAGAAATAATGTGACCAGTTGCAAACTTAAAACTATGCTAAATGGTTGGCGAAAATTTTATATTTATTATTTTATTTACTCTTTATTGCAAAGATCATAAATTTGAGTAATAAGGTACAAAAGGCGTCTCTCCTCTGCCCAAAGTTACATACTTTGGACAGAGAAGATAGTAGGTGGCTCTTGAGTAGAATAGACATAAAAAAGGGCATAGTAATATTATAGTATACATAGGTATATATACCATGTATTAAGTACAACGCAGTTAGGAACAAGCTAAGAGGATAATATAATAGGGATTTCTTGGGCAATTTTTATTTGTTACGCCCGAAATTAACAACGTATCCAATCCCAGATCGTACCAATCTTAGATTGATCCCTATTTCCAGATCGGGCTCCAATCTGCGTCCCAATATGATAACTCTAGTTTTTTAAGAATTATTGTATTATATGAATATGGAAATAGCTATAGAACCTTCATTAAGTCCAATTTGCATCTGTTTTTTTTGCACAATAAACTTATTATCAGTTTAACGTGTTGTTTTAAATGAGTATGCATTTGCTACTCATATTTCTGTATTTATAATTTCAATTATATAACTATATATCTTGGCACGCGTTTCATAAAAATATATTTAAGTTTAAAAATGAAAAATAGACTGAATGCTAAAAATGGATTAGGATTAAACATTAGAAGATTATTATCTGTACTTCAGTATTATATTAATATCAATTTCCTTTCTTTTAAAATTTACTTTTTAATTTCACGGATTTTATTTTTCATAGACATGTTTAAGATTTATAAATAACTAATAACTCTATAATATATATGTCTTTGTTCAATAGTCAGATGTTCTCCATTTTGCAATATTCATTAATTATTATAAAAATGCGCTAAAGCACTCGCAATGGAAGAACGCGGGAATGCGCGGGCTATTTCTCTTTGTCATTTACATGCACATTATTTCTTGCATGAAAGTCAATTCCCGTGTAAAACAGCGTATATGTTACTATTAAGGTTCTACTAATAAAGACTATACTTACTATGCGTGTGTCTCCAATACACTGTTTGTAATGTTTTCTTTTATTGATTGAATGTATTTTTTAATAATAATAATATTAAATAATTATTAACATTCTGCACCTCTCTCTGCGTGTGTTTGTCAAATACTTGAAAATGTATTTCTCTATATAAAACTATAGGTGTGGGAAATTTCATGATTCTCCGTCCGCGCAATACTACGAGTATTGCGCGGGGTACAAAGTTTTGTTTGTTATATTCATACGACGCTTCACGTATATTCGGTGAAACTTTCTACCTCAGCTCCCAGTAATGATTTTCGCCCCGATACGGTATTGAAAGTATTAAGAGTAAAACATAAACATTCAACAATATACCTTCAATTAATCGTGTATTGCAGATGATTATGGCCGGCAATTAGATTTAATAACATAATCAAAATATAAATATAACAACTATAATAACTCCTGGCCAATTAACACAGCCTTATCTAGTCCAAACCTAAGCAGAGTTTGTGTTAGGAGTACTAGATGAGTATGAGACAAATACTTAATTTTTTTTATGTAAATTCATGCATAAATGTACATAGAAAGTACACTGACCGTTACACTCATCCTTATGAATACAATACTAATATTGGTACCGTACCGTATGCAAGGAATCCCCGCGACCATTAGAAGTAAAGAGATCCTCCAAACCACGTAGATATAAATTTTGCCAAAATGGCTCATAACTGTAATTAATGACAACACTGAAGTATTATTCTGAGTACAGTTTAGTATTATCGCCGACGAGTGACGTGTCATAAATTTGCTATCGATATAAATGTCGATGATTAAAACGTCAACACTAATTATAGAAATATCGATTAGAAAAATAATGTACTCATGTATTTCTTTATAAAAATTCCTAACTATAGATATACTGAACGCCTGAATAAAACATACCTATGTAATATTTACACCTACCTATGTAACCTCTTTGCTACATTGTATTATATTATTATACTTTTAAAAATAGAACATAAAGCTCTCGAATTTTAAATATGTCATTCTTAACTGAATCATTGGAGGGAAAATAGAAATCCTTTACAATAATACCAAATATTCGTTTTATTTTCATAAAAACAAAAAGATAGTACAAACAACATTTTTTACTACATAAACATAAAAGTTTCTAATAATAAATGGATGTTTGGTATTCTTGAGTCAATAATTACTATACAGATCCAGATGAAAGTTACAGAAACAGACAATATCTCAGATTAACACATAGTAATAATACTTTTACTTTATACTAACATGTCATACATACACTATAATACACATACAGCTATATCGCGCTTGATAGATAATTGTTAAATTGCACTGGGTCTTTTTTTAAATGTATTGTTGTAATATTATACTACATTAATAAATATTTATATAATACCATATGTAATATTATATTATCTGTGATAATACCTAAAAATCAATTGTATTGTGATCATAATTTTAACAACAAATATGAAAACTGTAAATCACGTAGTCTTGCCGACTTGTCTATTAATTCTTTTTTTTTCGAACTACTCTAATGCTGTTGGCCGCAGCTGTTCTTTACAGCTTCACCGGACGATTAATTAATCATCTGCTGCATGGGAAAGATCATCATAAAGAGCATTTTTTTCTCAAGGATGATAATGGAATGATGCACCTGCTTGCGCTTACATTTTCCTTTGGCGAGGCACCAGTGGAGGATGATAAGATGAACTTGAAGTCAGATCAGTTAGCACAACGTGGCAAATTTACCAGCAATTTAACATGATCGTCTCCAGGAGAAACCGCTGGAGGTCAACTTGACATGGTACATTCCTAAGAATGGAGTTATTAATCCACATAACTAACAATCCCCTTTTCCCCTAAAAAGAGCATTGTACGAGGCAGGCATTACGTCCGGTGAAACTGTAAATGCCATAGCATTAGAGTACTCCGAAACAAAGGGAGGGTTTACTTGTGATCCAACGATCAACCAGAGCAGAACTCTCTTGAATCACTCTATCTGTTACTAATAAATGCGTAGTTTAAAAAATCTAAGGAAATAGACAACCAAAGCAACTTCATTTTATAAATAGTAAAAGATTCATTAATAGTAAATATTATATACTACAAGTGATAAGTAGATTAGATAGTATATAGAAGTCAGTCTTATATCAATGTGGAAATCTTGTCTACATGAAATATATATATATATATATATATATATATATATATATATATAAATTCTCGTGTCGTGTTAGTTACCAAACTCCTCAAAAAGCTCTTTACTGATTTTTATACCCATTTCATTAAATTTTATGTACGGATAGGCCTGAGAATCGGCCAAGAGTGGGTCAATACAACACGAATCCCAATCTCATAAGATTTTATTTTATCTCAAATAAAGCAGACGATGTTACCGAATTGACTAATAATAATAATACATGCAATGTTTCAGTCGTAAATGTGCGACAAATCATAAAACTACCAGCAAAAGCTGAGAAAACGAGACAATGATAATAATAATATATCTATATTCTCCACAAAAACATTGACATAATATAAAGTGACACCGAGCCATTGGGCATGTAAAATTGAATGCTAAAGTGTAATTTTGTGGAGAACTGGCGTCCGAAGAACATGAGTCGCGGCTCACCTTCTTCTCATGATTTACATCTGTACTTCTTACGTGCTAAGATTTATGTATACAATTAATAAAACATGGTACTTTAATACATACTCACGGAATAAAGTAAGTAAGTTAACATCTGTTAATGATTTATTGATATTGTAATAATTATTTACAAATCAATTGAATTTTTAATATCTTTATACACAGCATAAATTCTTTTGTAAAATGCAAACACAGACGGCGAACGATTCAATTTTTGTGTTATAAATTGACGACCATTTCCGTCGTAATTATAGTCTATTGCGAACAAAATTTTATACACGAATGTTCCATTGTATGTCGAGTGATAAATTGTAGGTTTAAAGGTAGCACCGCATAGCTTATTCAAATAATTCAAATGATTCAAGCAGAATTGAAATTGGACTAATGGATGGAGGAGCTGATCGCGATATATATCTCGTGCTTCCGAGCGCGGTAAACGAAAGAAATTAGCTAATGTTCTCATAGCTGCATCGACATCAGCTTCAGAAAATACGGGACTGTCATCTTGGCCCACTCTGTTATTGTCATGTGACAGAAGTCCCACGGCGATGTATGACAGCAGTACGCTATGAACTATATTATCTGTGGTATTGCTGGGTGATTTGCATGAGAAATAAATCAAAGATATCACGACAAGTCTTACATCTTCTGGTAATTCTTGCAAGTAATTAAAATTAAAACCTGCCAAACTGTTCTCCACGAAATGTT